AGTGGTGTCGTCTTCAGCGTGGATGTGAACGGGGTAAAACTTAAACAGGGGAAGTTTAGATTGGATATAAGGAGGAAATTCTTTCCTGTTAGGGTGGTGAGGCACTGGAATGGGTTGTCCAGGGAGGTTGTGAATGCTCCATCCCTGGCAGTGTTCAAGACCAGGTTGGATGAGACCTTGGGTGATATGGTTTAGTGTGAGGTGTCCCTGCCCATGGCAGGGGGTTGGAACTAAATGATCTTAAGGTCCTTTCCAACTCTAACTGTTCTATGATTCTATGAACAAGGGGCTGATTTTAATTTCATATTCCAACTAAATGTATTTCAGCTCCTTGATAGTCTTGAGCAGGTGTGTAGTTTCTTTTATGCCTGCAAACAGTCCATCAGGGTCAGTTTACTGAAGAGATGTGAGAGGGAGGGATTGGAATAACTACCTGACTCTTATGTGAGATTTAATCTGGACAGTAGGGACTGTATGTCACTCCAGTCCGAGACTGCTGTGAGCTGAGCTCTGCCTGCCTCAGGAAGAGCTGGGCTAAGCTGAAGCCTTGGTAGCAGCAATGCTTGATGTCCTGGATGGCCTTTGCCCACGAAGACTGACTCAGAGGTTATGCCCAGCCGGTGATTTCTCTTTTGATAAGCAAGCTTATTCTGAGAATTTAAGTCTTTATGCATGTCTTTTTAAATTACATGGTAGCAAAAAAGGAGAGAACAATATAGGACTGTGAACAGTCTGACTGCCTACATAGTGTCATAGTGGGAATAGCTTGGTTTTGTCACAGTTTAGATGGATAAAATAAAGTCACTGACTGCTGCAGCATCTTTGCTCCTTTTCCACCCTGTGGTGGAGTCTTAGAGGGTTGATGAAGTCTGGAAGAAAGGAGAGGAAAGAAAGGGCATTACCAAATCCAGATGGTGGTTGCTGGTGTTGAAAACTCTATTACCCATCATGGCAGGACCCAGCAGGTGGGCAGGCTGGGCCTTAGGAGGAGGAGTAGCTTTGGGAGTGCTTTAGTTACCCATGCAGGTTACTAAAACTGCTGTAGTTCCATATTTTCTTCAGTGCACCACTTTAAGAACCTCTGTGTCGGTGGTTTAATCCTTGCTTCCCTCCTGTTTTGGGGTATCGCTATGAGCTCATTAAGCTGTTTGTGTGGACATGGGCTAAACTGGATTAGTGAAACGTTAATCTTTGTTAACGCCTTCTTCATTCTCTATTTATTTTTAATCCAAATAATTTCACTGGTCCTATTTCAAGTGGGGTGCCACAGATAGTGTTTTTTCCAATGACAAAGACATTCTGAGAGTCTCTGCTTTGCTGTGATTCCTTTCCTAGGTGCAGCACTAGGTCTCATTCTGTAGCGGTGTTTGTGAGTCTGTACAGTGCCTAATGAAATGGTGTTCCTTCATGCTGCTGTGATACTATGTACATTGCAAAATACATTGGGATTCTTACTGTTTTGAAGGTTTGATGTTGAAAAGCATGTTGGCCTGAAACTTCCTGAAGTATTCCTGTTTTGTTTTCCCTTTTCCTGGAATTTTTATATGTATGGATTTTGTGTTGTATGACAGCTCCTGACAAATAATCTTATAGCTATTTGATTACCATTCTTGCTTTCAATCCAGATAATTACAAGTTTGCAGTCTGTGTAGCAGTTCGCATCTTCATTTTTTGTAGAGCTTTTCCTGTAGGAAAAGTGAGGATTATCGAGTCTTCAGCAGGCAATACTGTGTTCCATTAAGAAGTTGCTTTTACATGGAACTTGAACAAAAGAAAGAAATTATTTACAGAGAAATCATGTTTGAAGACCTCTTTATAGTAAGTTGGATCAGTAAAGAAAGTACTTTCTAGCCATCACTTCTGCTAGAGGAGAGGAACCTTAAGAAAAGCATGATCTGATAATTGCAGTCCTTTGGTATTTATGAAGTGTGGGCAGTTGTGCTCACTCTGAAACTTGTGAGATACATCATATTTTTATGAGTTTATCTTCTGTCTTCTTTTTTTTTCAGTTCTAGAATAAGGCTTTGACCACTTTTGTTGGTCGATTTGTCTCCTGCGTTTGTTAAACCTACTCTTGTCTTCAGTGTTTTTATCAAAACCATTTCAATATAAGCCATTTCATGTCAAAACCAATAAAATTCTATGATTCTGTTCTATGAATTAATCAGACGTTTGAATCACACACAGTCAGATCTTGAGATCATGAGTTATTTTTGCCTACTGGAGATGTGTTGTAGTTGGGTGCTTTGCTGGAGCATAGTGTTTGAGGCTTCTACCTAATTATAAATTTAGAATTAATTACTTTTTTGACTCTGGATGTAAGCAAATATTGTTTGAGGATTCTTCCCTCATCTGTGGATGGCTCTCTATTGACAATCATTAGCTACTTAGTGGGAGAAGTGCAAGGGGACCCTAGGCAATGGACTTTTTTGTGTTTGGGTTCTCATTAGTTGTAATGGCAAGAAAACAGGGTGGCCAGTTTTCTGGAGTTTCACAGATCACCTTTCTGCTCCTGGATTGAACTTTACAAAAGCTGTAGGTGAGCTGTCACTTGGGATTCCCTGCCCTGTCAGTATCTTTGGTAGTTGGCATTGCCCAATCTGAAGGTCCAGTGGTTTGCTGTATTACAAGCATGAAGGCTTTTACAAGAAGAGCTAGCTAAAGATGGAAGACTGTGCTGCTGTGAAAGAGTAAATGAGCATTGCACTCACACAGAAATTAGCATGACACATACAGTATGAGAGTAGTATGGCTGTAGGGAAGAAGTGTAATATGGAAGCACTCTGGCAAGAGTAGTGTCTGTGTAACAGCTGAATTGTTTGATGAATTGTAATGTGAGTATTGCCTTATGTTTCTTTCTGGATCAGGACTTGGTGGGTTTCCAGAAATCAAGTTCAATACTTTCATTATAGACAGGCTTCAGGTTTAAAAAATTTAAGTGTGTGTTGGAGAGGATATGTTTTGGGAGGAGATGGGGCAATGCCTCTTAAAATACATAAGCATCCTTTCAGTGTTTGTTTTGGGGTTTTGCTTGCCTTTCCCCCCTCCCCCCCCCCCAGTGTTTGTGTGTGTTTTTTGTTGTTGTATTTGTTTTTTTTTTGTCAGAAGGGAAGAGCAGCATCATGTATTTTTGCAATATTTATCACATTTCTCACCTTCATGAAAACATCTTCAAGTAACGGATTTTCTTTTTAATTTCTGAAATATGCATGAGCTTGCACATAGTTAACTCAATAATTGTAGTGTGAGGTTTTCAAGTCCAGGAGAAAATTTGGCCTTCAGATATTTTTCACCCTTGTGTGTATGTGAAAGGGAAAAACAAACTCAAAGGGAACAAACCAGCTTAGTAAATGTCTGAGGTTTTTCCTCAACTATCTGAAAGTTGACATTACATCATCTGCACAGATGCAAATATAGAAAATAGTAGGTGTGTTAAATTTCCTGACTTATTTTTAAAGCCTCTTTTACAGAGGACTTTCTTTATTTGACTGTGTGTTTGTGTCAGTAAATAGAGATGTGGTGTTATGTCCACTTTTCTTTCCGTTTCTGGAAGATTGGAAGTTTCTTTAAATGCTTGTTTTTGTATTTTAAGATTGTTCTTGGCTGCTGTGTTTTCTGTCATTGGCTCTGCTCTTTCCAAAGATGGTTTTATTTCAGTCAAGTCGTGTTCTTTCTTTTCCTAGCTATCCCTCTCTTATATACGTTTCAGTTTTTCCCAAACACATTTTTTCTCTTTGAACAATGATATTATTGAAGAAAAGGTAATAAATAATGTAGCTGAGTGGTTTTGTATGAAAATCAGCTAGGTTGATTTTTTTCAGACAAAGAGAAAAAACAATTCCTCCTTTAAATTCCAGTGCTAAGCCCCAGAGGGTCAGCAAAATGCATGTGGGTATTTTGGGTATTGAGACCTGTCCTAGGTCCTGATGGATGGTAAGGTCTCTGTTTGAGGTAGTATCTAAGACTTGGTTTAAACCAAATCTGGGGTTACATGACTTCTCACCTCTCAAAGGACCTCTTAAACATTCCATGGAAACGAAGTTTTATTTGGTGTGTTTGTTAGGTTCTTTATTGTCTATAGGCAGGGTTATAACTGTCTCAGTGTATGGCTACTTTGTGAAAGTAAATGTTATATGAAATAAAGCTTCTAAGTTGGCTTAGAAATTGGACTTAAAATATTACTGTAAAAGTACAGAACAAACCCAGCCAATTTTGAAATCAGTTTCAATTGCCATGTATTTGCTGCATGTAAGAAAACAAGAGAGAAGTTGAAGTGTGTTTTCTCTCTTGCAGGTGTTGCTGGAATAGTTCAATTTATTTAAAGCATATGATTTCATGCAATTGTGCCTGATTGTTAGTGCAGCTGTCAACAGCTGCATGCTCATTTAGCTAATTGCATTCTAGTAAGATAGCTAAGCTTATTTTAAGATATGCAGTTGTGCACTTAATTTTTAAAGCAACTACACGCACTTGGAAGATTCACTGCAGAAAGCTCTGTGCTATCACAATCAACAATCATTTCTCTGGAGAAGATTTAAGAGCTCAGAAACAAGACTGTAATAGCTAGTCTAGTGTATGGATGGCATCTGCCAAAAGCTGGACCATGCTACTTAAATTCATATAGTTCTGAAGGCCTTGAAATGGCCTTGTCCTTGGGGTTAGTTACATGATCTGCTCTTTGGGAGTATTTTATAGTTTAACATGTAAAACTTTATTTTCACAAGAAGCTAATTCCTGTTGCTGCATTAGTATTCTGGTTATGTAATCAGGAGCTAGGAGTATGTTACACACTGATCATCTCTTTCAAGAAACATGTATTTGAAATGAGGTATTTGTATGAAGTTGCACATGTATAAAAAGCGTATTAGGAGAGTAGATAATCTATTATGCATGCTAGTCCTGTGTAACATACTTGTATGTTTTTTTACTGGTGTTAGCTATGTAATTACAGTTGACAGTATGAAATGTATAATGCAGTGTTGTTTTTATTTGTTATATAGCTTTATGCCAGTATATACAGGCCTCTAAAACCCGAGATGGTGCCAGCCGTTTCATTTCAAGTGCAACAGAAGGTAAAGGAAAAAGCGTGGGGTAAAAAAAAAACACAAATCTTTGTTCATCTGATACCCTATCTTCATGGGCATTTATGTGGTTCTTTTAGGATCTTTTAACCTTTTAGACTCTCTTCACAGCTAACTTCTTGTAATAGATGGTGGATGCCCTTTTTTCCTAAGTCATGAAGAAGAAATTAAGTGATGCCACTTGTATGTCAATCTTAAACTTGCATCATCTTTGCATCTTGTCTATTTGTGCTTTTCTTCATTAACAAAATTCCACTGAAATTGAAGCTTTAACTATGCTTTAACAAGAATCTGAAGTATCTGAAGAGTAACTTAGAAAATTGCCATCACAACCACAATTTCAAGATAATTGCGCTTAAGGAAAAGCACAGATACTTAACAACATAGAAATGTTACTATGCTAATCCTTGCTGATATCTGCAATCTGATTATATGCTGACTAACTGTCTTGCATTTTCTGTTTCTCTTAAAAGGAGTGTTTGCTTAATTCACTTATCCTCGCATCTACCTGCTGATGTCCTGCTATTTGGCCTTGTTTGAGCTTTAAAAGAGAATGCAATATTTATTTATGTTTTTTTTTTTACCTGCAGGGGAAAACTTTGAGCAGACTCCTTTAAGACGCACATTTAAATCCAAAGTTCTTGCTCGCTATCCTGAGAATGTTGAATGGAACCCTTTTGACCAGGATGCAGTGGGAATGGTCGGTATCACTTAATGGCTTCCTACCTTAACAATTGAAGGCATTCATCTGTATTTTCTTTGACAGGAAAGTGTGACATCTGTTACAGATAGAGAAATTCATTATTGTTTCCAAAATTATACAGACTTAAAAGGGGCTTTTCATTTAATTGTGATATTGTTTTAAAGGAAATTAAGTTGCAACTTGTAAGTGATAAATTCCTAGAAGAGTCTTTTGTTCTCCCACAGTTTGTTGCATTTTAGAGAATTGGTAGAAAAATTAATTAATCTGCAATTAGTGAGCCTTTGTGCATGATTTTTCTGTTAAATAGAATGTGGTGTAGTTTCTTTCTACTTTTCTCTATCAGTTTTCTGGTCTTGGTGACCAAAACGCTTCCCTTTATCTGCCTGCGTTTCAATTCTGTTATTTTATTCCCATTGAGGTTGGTAACAAAATGGTTATGAGTTTCAACAGAAACTGGATATAGCCCTTGTAATATGTTCCTTTAGTTTTTCTGATGTATGCATATTATTGTATTGTACAGAGATGTAACACTTAAAAGAACTGAAAGTGAAATGTGATGGCAGTCTGTGGATTCTAAATCCTCTTTTCATCAGTGTTTCTGCAGGCAAGGGGAGAGAAAAGTGTTTTAATTGATATTATCTTCCCTCCCTTTTTTTTTTTTTTTATAGCTGTGTATGCCTAAAGGGCTTGCTTTCAAGACACAAGCAGATTCCAGAGAACCTCAATTCCACTCTTTTATTATTACTCGTGAAGATGGCTCACGGACATTTGGATTTTCTCTCACGTTTTTTGAGGAAGTTACTAGCAAACAGATCTGCAGTGCAATGCAGACATTGTATCATATGCACAATGCTGAATATGACATTCTTCATACTCCACCCACAAATGACAAAGATAGCTGCAGCAGCACTGGAGACTGCAATGGCACTTCTGTTTCAAAGCTGCAGCGTTTTAACTCCTATGACATCAGCAGAGACACTCTTTATGTCTCAAAGTGCATTTGTCTGATTACTCCAATGTCTTTTATGAAAGCTTGTAAGAAAGTATTAGAACAACTTCACCAAGCAGTGACTTCACCTCAGCCGCCACCTTTACCTTTAGAAAGCTACATCTACAATATACTCTATGAGGTTCCTCTTCCTCCAGCAGGAAGGTCATTAAAATTTTCAGGTGTTTATGGACCAATTGTCTGCCAGAGGCCAAGCACCAGTGAGCTACCATTATTTGATTTTCCGGTTAAAGAAGTTTTTGAATTGCTTGGAGTAGAAAATGTGGTTCAACTCTTTACCTGTGCCCTCTTGGAATTTCAGATACTGCTTTATTCACAGCGTGAGTACTTGTTTTTTGTCTTCCTCTTTTGTAGTTGTACTGGCACAAGGTCTTCTAACTTCCTGAATTCTAAAAACCACACAAACAGAAGTATAGCTGCTTTAAAGTGGCATAAGCATGCTAATGCAGTCCAGCTTATCTGTGTGCAGCTTTTAATGCGAAGAAAAGAACTGGACTTCTTTTGCAAAGAGAGAATTGCATTGGCTCATGGTTTTAGACCCGTAAACTTAAAACTTTGGGCTCTCACATAAGCTTCTGTATTCATGGACTGACTGTCCTCCCTATTGTTGTCCCTGGAAATGTGCTATTGGATAGAGTAGTATGCCTTCTGCAGCTGCTTAGCAGAATTGCGTCCTAATCTCTGCCACAGTATCCATGCATTTTGAGAAGTTACCTAGTTAATTATGTATGGTTCTGAAAAAGAATTAATGTTGCAAATATATATTTTTTTTTGAGTACCCGAAGTCAGATTTCAGTTCTTACTTTGAAATAAAATTAGCATAAAAAAGTTTTATTTGACTGAATTTAAATCCCAAATCTCTGGTAAGGCCTTGAAACAGTTATTGCTGAAGTCACATAGATAAAGCTTGCTTTGAAGAGGATAGACAACATCTAAGCTGAAATAGTATGTTTATCAATTAATAAGTAATGTGGTTGTGGTATCCATTTTCTGTATTGAAATTTTTGAATCCTCAGCTCCTTGTTCTGCTCCTGTTACTCTAATACAGAGTATATGCAGTTGTGCCAGAAGATAATTTTTCTACACTTGTTCTTTTCCCCCCAAGCTGGCTAGCATTAGTCCAGATCCACCTGTTCATAATGGAATGGTTTAAAGTAGACAGACTGCATTTTGAATCATACAACACTTTTTATAGTAATGGTAAAGAAGCCTAGAAGACTCCAAGACAAATCTAGGGATATTCCACAGTGTTGCTGGAATCTGTTTGTGATAGTTTCTTCCAGTGAGATGTGACAGAACAGAATGTAGAATACAAATGGTAGCTATTTATAAGATATAGCCTGCAGTTATGAGCAACATTCTGCAAGCATGAAATATGGATGTTTATGTGTTGAGATGTGCATAGACTAAGGCCAAAGATAAGTTTTGTTTATATAGTCAAGGTGATTAAAAGTGTATAATGCCAGCAGGGTGTTATATCACAGTTGTTGCATTGTATAAACAGTTAACTGTGACAGAAAAAAACTATACAGTAACTAAAACCACAGTCAATTTACTGTACTTGATAGTGGTTACTCTCTTGGATTTAAAAACCAAATTGCTTTGCTTATTATTCATAGAAAATCTAGAAACACTTGCCTAGCAGGCAATCTTCTTTTGTGGTTTCTACAGAAATGCATTATGCGTCTGAGATTTAGGGACAGTTTGTCAGTGTGGATATCTGTGTCCCATCAGTAAAAGATTCAAACTTCAGCTTTTCCGTCTGCAGAAGAAAGCAGTCCAGTTGGCCTGTAGTTGTGCTTTAGACCTCCTGTGCTTGGAAGTGCATGTGCCTGACTGATTGGAAGCACTTCAAGAAAAACAATGAGTGCATTGCCATATTGGAACAGTATTCCCCGATCTCTTTTCAGGCCATCATGTTATAAATCCTGATTTCTTCTGGGCTGGAACTCTACTTGCTCCCGGACTTGTCTTCTGTATCCCGAGTTCTCTTTCTAAGCCATATTAATACATTCAGCTTTTTTTCCTTGGGTGCTTTCCAAGTGTGTCTGATCAGTGGCTAATTAAAGAAGTTTAAAATAGCTTTGGAACACTTGAGTTGCTTGTTTGCACATGCAGACATATGGAATTCAGAGGGATCTATGCAGCCGAAGGGCTGTGGGCCTGTATCTTTATGTCCAGTTTCTGTCCAGTGTTCTCCTGCCTCACCGCAAGCTTTGGCTGAGTTGGGCTGTGTGGCACATTATGGTAGTGTCTCTTCTCTCTGTCAAGTTCTTGCCTACAGTAGAAAAAGAATATTATTTGTTTGCTGACATCTGGTCCTCAATTTTGGTGAACAAAGTGTGGCAGTGACTTAATAGCAGCCATAGTTTTCTGAAATGTAGCTTCTCTTCAGTACTTGTTAAGGGATCTGATCCTGATGCTTTTTTTACCTGCTTTTTTCTTTTTCTTTAAAACCACTTTGGCGCAGTTTCCTAATAAATAGTCAGAACACTTTCAAAACTTCTGTTAAAACCACTTCAGTTACTGCATGCTGCTGGCATTGCCAATAGCCAAGTTGAAGAAGCCATTTTCTAAAATGTTTTTTAATAGTCATGTACTTTATTTTCACATGACTTGAAATGGGAGCATGAAGTATTTTGAAGTTCTAGAAGGTAAACTTTTTCTTCTTGTAACTTTTGGTATTGTCTTTCCTAACCATGATACTCTATTTTCTTCTATGTGGCATCAAATTTTGTAATTGTTTAGTGAAGTGATTGCTTGTATTGCTTAGGAGGATGATATCAGTAGGAAAATTGAACTTCTGACTGAGGTTCTGATTGTCTTTACCTGTACTTAACAGTTACCTTCTTTGTTTTGGTTTCTTTAAGTTTATGTGGAGGTTTTTGTTGTTGGTTGGTTTTGTTTTTTTTTTTTTTTAAAGCAGGAATATGCTCTTAATAAATTTTGCTCTTCTCTGTTGGAAACTAATGTCAGTGTTTTGCAGTTTGTAAACCAGGGAATGTTGAGTGGAGGTACAGGTAAAGGTTCACTCAGTTCAAAGTAGAATCAGGAATTTCTTGAACTTTTGTAAGGGCTTGTGCACATTCTTGCATGTGCAGTAGTGTAAGGTCTAGGTTGTCCTTCAGAATGTAAGTCTTACACAAGTGTCCTTTGGGTTTGCTAAATCTCTTGGTGCTCAAATCTGTGACAGTTGAGTTGGTGAGATCATTTCTTGTTCTCTTAGGTCAAATGAGATTGCAATACACATTGGGCGGATTTAGGTTTAGAACAGTACATGGCAGGATCAGAGGGTTTTCTTATAAGATTTATTTAAAAATCCCCAAACAAACAAAAAACCCAAACCCAAAACTCTTGGAGGACTTTGCTGACAGATGCAGTTCTTCTTGAAACAAATTGTTTAGCACTTGTTAGTTCCAATTAGTACTTGGAATAGAAGTAACTTCACTTGGTAGTGAATGTGTTTTGCTTTAAGATTCCTTTGACGTGTTTCTGACCTTATGCTTCTGGAAATTCATTTTTGTCCCACTGTATTGGCACAGCCTGCGTGTTTTGAATCGGTGTAAGCCAAATGTAGGGAATGAATACCTTGATTTGATTGTCCTCTTGAGAGACTTGTCTCCCATTTGGAAGAGCGTTAGAGAAAGGCAGGTGACTGTAAGACAGTGAAGAATCTGAAGCTACTTCTAGTGCTAAGCCAGTGATGAGGAACTCTGGCAGAGAGAGTGGTGCTAGGGACCTTCAGTAGTACCCTCACCAAATTACTCTGCAGGAGATGGTTTGCGTTCTTGCATTTTATTTTGCTCTTGTATCAGTGGAATGGAAATACTCCTTATCACCATAGAGCTCGTCTGAAAGGTGTGCACTGAGTTAAGACAGTTGCGAAATCTGCTTGGAAGCTATTTTCTAAGCTGAAAACTATAGAAAAAGAAAGGTAACACAGCGCAGACTATGATCTTGAACAGTTTTTCTTTTCTCGCTAATTGCTCTCTGCTGCCATTTTTAAGCACAAATGAAGTTGTTGGGGTGCTTGTCTGCTTTGCTTTGCTTTTGGTTCTCTCTTCCCCATCATGTGCTTAAAATTGTGTTCACTCTGGAGATATAAAGTCTTAGTTTTACTTCTTTGCAGTTATTAGTCCTGTGTTGCCCAGTTCTCGTATCTTACATGGGCATTTTCTTATGTCTGAGTTGGACACCTGCTGCTTGGTGTAGTCATCTCTAATCAGCCAGTCAGACACAGAAACAAACACAAATAGCAAGTGCTTTGACCTGCTGCTTCTGCTAACCGCAGTTTGTCCTTACTGCAGTTACAGGGTTTTTGAAGTGAAAGGCCCAGTTAAAGAAATGTATGTTTTCTCTAAGGAGTCTGACATGCCGAATACCTGTGCTCAGAAAAATCTGTTGAAAAATGTTTCTTTTACACTATGCTTTCTGCTACAAACAGTCATGCCTGAAGTGAACGCTTGAGGTAAAAGAGTTTGCCACCACTGCGTCTGGTGGCTCAACTGCATTGCATGCTACCTGTCCATAAGAACTGTGTTTATAATTTTTTTTCCCCTTCTGTTCCCCTTCAGGCTAAAGAAAAGCTTAATCCTGGCAAGTAGCCCATCTTTCTGTTTTATCCATATACTTCTTCAAGATACCTAGCTAGACTCGTCTGCGGTAATAGTCTGCCACTGTAGGGGCAACTCTCTACCTTAAAGCAGAATATGGAAATTGCATGTGGAATGGAAATTACTTGCCAAATACAACAGTATTTCATTGTGATCCATGAAGTAAGATGATGAGAAGGAAAAACATATTCCAGAATGTAATCATGTAATGGTTTTAAATTTGGCCAAGTCAGAGAATTTCTGTAGGCACTTGATAGACTTCTTGCTGATAGAATGTGAGAATAGATGGAATTGTGGTTCTTCGAGCTGCAACCTTCCTCCCATCCTGCTGCTCTCTTTCCAGTCCTGAGACTCCTTAATTCTTCTTTTTCCTGGATTTACTTGCTTTTTACAGATCAACAAAAATGTCTAGGTATACTAAATATAGATAAATACTGGTGTAACTAACTTCTCATACATGCTTTAAGGGATAAGGTATTTTACCTCCAGTAACTGGTTAGAAGAACAAATCAGCCGTTTTTGGTGTTATTAAGTGGCCATGTTAAGGTATAGTGGATTTTCTTTTCCTTGCACAGTGAGCAGCTAAGTACTTTCCAAACTAACAGTGCAATAATGGTATGTCATTTTTCCCTACCAGTGCCCTACATTGTACACTACCAGTACACTACAAGGCCAAAAGACTTTGTTATTTGCACCAGAATAAGTATATTCTGGTTTTAAAACTGAGAGCAAGACCACTACTGAAGCACTTCTTCCCTCTTTTAAGTTTTTTGTTGTTATTATTTTTAAATCTTATGTAATACCCTGGTACTAAGTGTGCTGCTTGCTTCTTTAGAAAAAGTAAAGAAATATTCCATACTCTCTCAGGATAGGTATAAGAAAATATTTACGCTAGTTTGATTTATGTTTGCAGGCTACTTGACTTTGTTCATGCCTTTTGCCACCTGGTCCTGACATGCTTAAAGCCTGCAGAAAGTAGCTATTGTTACTTGCAGGCTGCAACCATGCAGGCCAGACTGTTGGGAATGGCTTAAGCTAAGTGGATATCCAGGATCAGAGAACTGCATTTGCAGATAAACCTGGTTGGAGAAGGTAGCTGCTGAGTGGATAGAAATTCTGAATTATTGTTACTTTGTAGTTAATTTGAAAGGGTAATACTAAAGTTAGGTTAATGACAGAGGGATAAGTTGTATTTGAAGTAGCCAGCAGGATTAGACAGTTTTGTGTAGTAGGAAAACACTGTTTCTATCCTGAGACTTGCTCTTTCAAATGAGCAAGCTGAATACAAACCAGATGGCGTGTTTGTATATCTATGGCTACATTTAAAGTTCCTTTTAAAGATTAAGAAAATAGAGTATGGAACGGATTTTTCACAAAGCTTATCATTAATTCATCACTTTTTTTTGCAGTCAGGCTGTGATTAAAGCTGCAAACCAGTAAGTACCTGTGGAGGCAGAAACTGGTGTGCAGGCAGAATAGGGGAGTACTCCTGGTGATGTTCATTGTTTGTTCTGTAACGTGTTTCAGTCCAACTAAGCTTTTGGCAGAAACTTTGTAAACTGTTTAAGCTGTTTATTTTTGCTTGTTTCGACTAAAGGCTCCTAATCTTTTCTGCCAGCAGAGCAAGATCTGAAAAGAAAAATCAAAAGCCTAGATTGCAGGATTATGACTGATGGTAGCAAAACCTGTGCTGGGTTCCTCTTGGGTTGTGGGACTCTTTGCAGACCTCCAAACTCTGCAAATTTGCCCTAAAACAAAAATGCCAGGAGCTGAATTTCTTGTCCCTGTCTTCTGCTCTCTAAAGTCTGAGAAGTCAAAGGATAGAATTAAAGCCATAACCTTAGAAAGTGCACAGGTGAGCTTAGTTTTTCTCTAGGGCATTTGTTTTGAAAGTTGTTACTCTTGCAGTTTTCATCTGCACTCTTCAGCAGTGTTCAAGGGCTTGAGAAGCCTCAACACCTGAACCTATGCATTCAAGTATCTTTTCCAATTTCATTGTGTCTGTAGTTTTATGAACATGTTAGGAAAAGACATGCATACACCCCTCCCCAGCACACATATGGAGAATATGTGTGTACATTTTTTTTTCCTTGTTCGTGTTTCCCCCAGTCTTTCCTGACTGGAATGGAATCTTGCTTGAGTATCATGAAAAAGGCATCCTGTGTTTCCAGGCTGTATTACATTTATAGCTTGACTGAAGGTAGAAATTGTCTTAGTTTTGTGAGCTCATTCTATACTCTTTCTAGCCTGGCAGCTTGAAAGCAGTCTGAATGTTTCAGCAGTTGTGTTAGACCACACACTCAGGTCATCTGGTGTTGCCTTCTCCTTTGTGGTGCATAGGTATCAAAAATGTTAAAAATGATCCTGCAGTATAAAAGAGGAGGGTGAGGTGTTGGTCTGGCATACTGCAGTGTTAACTGCTCTAGCCACCAGCTGCTGAATAAAAAGATCTTGTGCGCATGTTGCATAGGTGCATTTAGCACTGTTGTTCAGTTCTGGGAGATGAGTTGTTTTTACGTTGAACTGAGACTTCAGTCATACATTGCAAAGGGTAAATGAAGCTGATGCTTTTTATTTTGTGCACAGTTATTTCAGTCACATTGTTGGGTTGGCTACTGTACAGCATGCTTTATAGCCATTTAAACATGCCCTTAAAAAATGTTTATCTGGGAGACACCAGATGCCTTGGGTTTCATCCAAGGATTCCATAGAAAGCCATAAGCACAGAGAAAAGAAATCATTTCTGATGTATTTCTTAGCTGATTACAATACTGCTTCCATACTCAAACTGGTGTTCCTGGTAACCCTGGTATAGGTAGCAGAAGGTGACTTAGTGGATGCTAAGGCTCAATTTGCTCATTTCCATATGACTTGTAGACTGACCTAGTTTGTGTTGAGCTCTCTTAGTTGTTTCAGCAAAATGTGCTTGGGTGTAGAAGTCTGGGCTTTCATCAGGATGCTGCTCAATTAGCACTGGGGTTTGTGGCTTCTGTTTTAAAACAAGCTTTCATTTCTTTAACTTAATTTACTTAAAAATGTTTGTGAAAGAAAAAATATTTTTTGTTTCTCGATCTTTTTCAGATTATCAGAGACTGATGACTGTGGCAGAGACCATCACAGCACTGATGTTTCCATTTCAGTGGCAGCATGTGTATGTTCCTATCCTTCCAGCATCCCTCCTTCATTTTCTAGATGCTCCAGTTCCTTATCTCATGGGTTTGCATTCTAATGGGCTGGATGACAGGTCTAAGCTGGAACTTCCTCAAGAGGTGAGGAGCTTGTCTTGGTTGATTAAATATTGTACATGACTATGAAGGAAGTGAGAAATGAGCCAAAATACTAGTGCTAACTCTAACAGACATTGTGCAGTTCTTGCTGACTCAGAATAGCCGTTAGTTTATTTTTTTGAGATGCTGGAGAAAATCTGGTGAAGTAGATAAATAAACCCATTTTGGAAATTGTATGCTCTGATAAGCTAATTTTACAGCAGCATTACAGAAAGAACATTTTTCTGCAGCAAGGCCTAGCCCTGTAATGCTAGGAGATGCAAGAAAGTGCAGTGTGAATTCACCAGCTGTGGCCAAAAGGCCCTACAGCCGCTTCTGCATGGTGCCGAGTGAAAGCTCAACTGGCTTTAGTGCTGTACTGTGCTGGCTCCTGACTACCGGGGATTAGGCTGAGTTTCCCTGCATTCCATTTCTAAGTTGGGGTTGGCATACATGGACCCGGCCTGTCAGTTGTCTGCACCAAAAGTGTTTTGAATTTTCTTCTAGAATGCACACTTCAGTGTGCAGAAAAATGTCAGCGTATATTTGAGCTAACTGGTGCTGATTGGAATAGTGCTCAGGAAGTCTTCCCTTGTAGTGAGGCTCTGTTAACACCAGCCACTGTAAAAGGGAGAAACAAATGGTCTGTAGAGGTTCTGCAACTCATACATGGGGCTGGGACTGCGTTCAGACTGCTTAGAGGTTGTTTTTATTTACTTTATCCCACTGTTCACGGATATTCTTTATAGGGATGAGCCAAGAGAGAGTTTAAGAGCTGATTGTGAGGATCAGGGGACCAAGAGTTGTTGAACACTACCTGAGGTAGCAAAAGAAATGTCTGCAGGAGCCAGTAACCACCCTTGGGAAGTATATCAGGTGACGTGTCTGTGTAGCTTGTTGAGGCAGTTCCATCAGTCATCTGAATGACTTCTCTCATTGAGCACCATTGAATGGTTTATTTGCTTTTGTATGTAGAAAATGTTAGGTGTTATGTATTGGTCTGGTTAGCTGTTGTCAAGAAGCTAGATGTCACTATTAGGTAGCCTTGTGGGAAGGAAGCAAGTGCTTGGAAGGAACAAGGCAGCTCTGGGCCCTGCTGGAGTCTGCTTTCTTGTAGGTGTAACTTTGCAGGGGAGGACTGTGTAAACCATGTGAAACACCCATGGTTTACATGGAAGCGCCATGGTAGAAAAAGCATTCTCTAGTCTGCCATTATCCCTGGTTGTCTGTTTTTTTCTATTATCATTTAGGTTGCTGGAAAAGCAGAAGTATGGCAGGCAGAGGATTCTGTGGTGGTGGTTGTGATTTTCATTATCGGGCAGCGCTGCAACAAAGCTTGATGCAAAAAAAAAGAAAAAAATCCTAGAAAAGCTGCATGAAAGTAAAGATGGTATTTTTGTGAACCTCCAGTCTGGTCACCATGCCAACATTGCTCTTTTTTGCAAATCCGTATGCTAATAGTTTTAATTTGTTTTTCCTGGCAAGTTCAAAGGAAAACTTCTCTTCAAACTCTGCTACTTTTCCTATGAAAAATAAAGTATTTAATCTCTTGATTTCTTTCTTTTCCCCTCTTTTTAATTTCTTTTTCCCCTCCAATGGCACAATTTCTAACAGGTTAGTGTATATTCCTGCTATGAAAGCAGTTTATTGCGTTGGCTTACTACATTTTTACAAAATTTCATGTCCTGACAGGCCTAATTAATATGATTAGTGTACTTTTTAGAGAGACTAGTTGGTGAAGTAAAATGCATGTGTGGATATGCATGTTATGGATGTTTTCATTATTATAACAAGCTTCTAAAAGACTGTCCTCCTTTTGTAAAGAATTTCCTAATTTTAAAATCACTGTAATACTTCCAACTAAATAAGCATGTTTTAGTTTCAAATAGGAATTTCAGTTATTTAAAGGGTAAATTCTTTTGAAGAGCTTTATCAACTTACCTTGGAGGTTTAAAAAAAGGCAGTTGGTCTTATTTTAAATGTTAAAAATTAAATCAAAGTGGTATTTAAAACATAATCTGACACCTTAATTTACATTTTGCTTTTCAGAAAGCCTTTTATCGGGGGGTGGAGTAGTAGATTTTTGATCTACAGAGATCAGCATTGTCTGAGGGCAGGGAGGGGAGGGCATACAGGTCTGGGATATCAGCAGCAATGTACCCATGTAATGGAACTTGCTGCAGGACTGAACTTACCCTTCCAAACCTTCAGATTTTCTCTCTCTTATTCAAAGAGTGGGCTCTTAAAACTTTGAACACAGTAAGTATGACTTAGTTTGAGAAATCCTCTTGACAGTCATTGCTGAGTAGGATTTCTTATGAACTGTTAAAGTCCGTCGCACTACAGGCTGGGAATGTAGCTGTGGCGTAGAAAAAGACTTGAAAATGTGCTAGAGACTTCAAAGATGACTAAGGAGTTATCCCCTACCAATAGATTTGCTTATCTGAGAAGCAAAGTAGACAGGAGCTCACTATTGCTGAGATTTTCATTGTAGGGGGTTTACTACTGTTGCAACAAGAAGTAAAATTACCATCTTAAAAGTAAAGCAGAATTCAAAGTGCATGCTGGTCTCATTAAGTGAAATAATTGGTCAGTGTCAGTATTTCTGATATTATTAATTTAATCAGTCAGCTTTAATATAGTTAACACTGCAGATTACAGGTTCATCTCAGACCAGCTTTGCTTTATGATTAGGCTTTCAGGTACCCTCCCCTTAAAGAGCCAGAGAAGCTGTACACTTAATTCCTGACCTATAGGAACATGCATAATATGTGTTGTTGTAGAACAGCAGAAGAGGGCATGTGGAATCTTATTATTTGTGTAAAGGCAGATTTATCATAACTAACAAAAGGGATGTTAATATTTTATATTGTTTATCTCTGAAGTTTGGGATGTATGTGATCCTTTATGAAATCATCAGGGTTATATGAGGATCTTAATTTCCAAGTCCTGCCTTTAGGCTCCTGATTCGTAGCTACAGTAAGTATCAGAATTTTCCTCCCTTGCCACAAAAAAATAAAGACCTATTCTATATTCTAATTTATTCTGAGTTCTGCTCTCTTGAAGCTGTATGGACTGCATCTGTGTTGCTAATCTGTTTGACTGGATGCATGGGACAGCTGCTGTTAAAGAAGGCAATATCTATTTAGGCAAGGGCCAAAAATGAGCTCTGGCAGAAAATCTGATTAGTACTTCTCAGTTGAAGGGCATTGTGGAAGGATGCCTTCATGTCACTGTAGAATTCTCGATTGTGGTTTTATGATGATGCTTTTAAAAGACTGACTTGCCTTGATCAAAGTGTTTTAGGCTAATATGTGTGAAAATACTATCTCTCCTAACTCAGGTGTGGTTTAAGTCTTGCACGTATCATAAGGCTTGGTTTAGTTTGTTTGTGGTGGCAGTCTCCCATATTTTGGTCACATCTGATGCTTTAAGGGAATGTTTTACCATGGGAGCATGGAAACCCAGCTGAATTCTGGAAGTTGGTGCTTTGTCAGATGATGATTAAAATCTTCAGTGAACATCTACTGCATAAGTAGTTTAGGCTATCTGTTGGGTACATCAGAAAACAGTGCCTGATGGGGAGTTCATTGAAGTTCACCAGTTACTTGAAAACCTGACTGGCCCAGTAAAATTGTAACAAAGGCTGGAAGCTTACTGTAGGGTTGAGTTTCTTGTACATGTCAATGGTACAGTGCACTTAAAAGTTAATCTTGCTCTTATTTTGCGGAGGGCTCTTTTTGTATGTCTGAGCATCCTTGTGGTTTCACTGGTGGCTGCATCAGAGGATTGTAAGGAACTCGAAGAGAAAAGGGAAGCATGTGAGAAGTGGTGCTTAGAGTAAGGTGCTGCAGAAATCAAAGGGGAAGGGAAGAACATGTTTCAGATGTTGCTGGCAAGTGTGGTTTGTTTATCGGTAAAATTGATCAAAAAATGGTTAAATGAGCTTTCTTGCAGATCATAAACTCAGCAAGTACTAAAATAAGATTGCTTTTTTGATGTGTCTTTTGAATTTCCTTTTAAAGAAACTTCTGCAGTGCTGTAGCAATGTATTTTCAACAAGCAAGTTAATCTGGGCCATTTCATGCTATTGGATTTGTATGTGCATCTTGCCACTCTGTAATGCAAGAGAATGGTGGAAATTAAAAATATTTTGAGTGAAAATAAGCAACACAGAATCTTCCAGCACTGGTTAAATCAAACAAAAGTAGCATTTCATTATAAAAGCTTGTTTTTAATGAAGTCATCTCAAGGGGCTTGGGTCTAAAAGCTTTTTCATTTAGAAAAGTTGAAAGATTTTAAAAGCTGAAATCCAGCTCTTTGCTAGCATAAGAAATATATATTCTCAGTATTTTTATTTCAACCATTAAAGATGTTATTCAGTGCTAAATCTTAACAAATTTTGAGGGTTTTTTATTTTTGTACGTTGCTTTAGAAGATAAGGAAGATATATTGATGCCAATACGTTTAGGCCAGAGTGACCAAAATAGTTACTTTAAAATATAATTGCTGCTTTGTATGCATTCTCAGGCTTTCTGCTGGTGTGATAAAACCTTGATAATACTGTACATTTATTGACAGACTTCAGTGTTATGTTTTCCTGTATTTCAATGTTAAACAGCCACTTGAGGAGTAAAATTCATGTTACTGAAAGCTGGAGCTGTAAATTATTCTCAATCACAAATCCTGGGTTGGCATGAAGAACAGTAATGCTGAGAATAAATGCAGAAGGTCACTATTTGCTTACAGGAATGCACAGGAGCGTCCTTTAGAATTTAGGACCAATGTAAACACACTTTCCAAAAGCCAGTTGTGTGTGTATAAATCTATATATCCATGTTTTCTGTGTGTTAAGTGAAGTGGGTGGTTATTTGCAAGGTTGGGACCTAATGCACAAAGGTGACACATGCTGCTGATGAGAGGGTTTTAGTTTTTCAGTCCTGTGTTCAAGCAGAATCCTTAACTCAGAGCCATGTTTCAGTCTGACTATCTAAGAGGGCATTTGAAAACCCATATATGACCTATACCTTAAGCACTGGGGCTGCACAGAGAATTGAAGTGGTGGTGATTGTGCTATCAGAACTAGCTGTTCTGAATTGCTCTAGGTATCTGTTTGCATACCATGTATGCATACCATATATTAATGTTTAAAATAAAGCATATTTTTTCTTTAGGATGTCAGTGGGGTGGGACCTTATTATTAGTGAATGTTACTTCCTCCTTAGACATCCTTTGGGCAGAACCTAAAGTATTTCCTTCTACATTTTTGAACAGAGCTGAAAGGAAGGATATGGGTTTTGATGCAGGCCTTGCTAGATCTGTGTGTGGGTTTGGCTCTTATTGTACTTGAGGTCAAACTAAAGAATTGCAATTGTCTTCTGCCTCTGGAATTGATGAGTGTAGTCCACACCCCACTGAGCCAGTGGAAGGTTGTGCTGTTGACCTCAGGGGACCAGGCTTTGGTATCAGACATGATCATTGACTGACTTGCATCCACATTTCTAAGGTTTGTCAAACGTTCACCTGGACACCCCATTATTTGTGATGATAACAGTTTATGAGAAGAAAGATTTTACATTATGATGTGTCACTCTTGTTCCTTGGTGTAGTGTCTCAGAAGAAGGTTTTATTGTGTGATGATGTTATGTGTTCTGTCTTGTAACAGTCTGCTATTAAAGTGGTGCATAACTATAAGAGGTTTCCTTTTGGTCAGAAAACTGATACTTCAGGAAGGAATAAAGAATATTTGTCTGTTCCAGAGACCTGAAATACCAGGCAACTGATTTAAGTATATTCTTCTTCTCTACTTACACATGTTGCCAAGTAGCTTGTCTTTTATTTAATTTTGTATGTGTAAAATCGTGATCCGTATGTCCACAGACACAAACAGCATTGTCAACAATTCACAGTTCATTCAGTGGTGCTGCCTCTAGAAACAAAATAACTAAAACCTTGTGATCAAAGAACTCCTTTATTTTTCTACTTTATATACTTCTCTAGTTCCTATAATGCAAAATGCTTTGGGTAGCCACCATTTAATAAAAAGTGTCATTTCATTTCTCTTGCCTTTTAAAGGGGGGGCCCTTACTGGTATTCTCTTCTGTTGGATCTGTAGTATAGCAGTGTTGTGAGATTTAGTGTTTTGGTGTCTGTTACTGATGATTTATTTACTTGGGATTTCAGTTTCACAGGAAAGTGTTGTTTTGGTACCTGTTGAAGGGCTTGTGAAGTAAGGTGTCTTTGCCATTTTTGTTCCTTGGGGAACATGGCCTTTTCGGAAGTGCTTATGCAATCCTTGAGGATGACCTCAGTCTCCCTGAGTTAAAAAAGGCGAAAGCCATCTACTAAGTCTCATTTGCTTAGGCTGCTCTGGGTAATCCTCTACCTTATGTGTTGAAAACCAGGCCCTCAATAAGTGTAGTGTCTCCAGAAATTTTCTTTACACCCTTTAGAGTGTGCACTAACATGCTAATTTTTTTCTTCTATACAGGGCAGATTCTGGGAAATATGATAGTAAGTGGCTGATAAGCCATCATCATCAGTGACTTAGAGAGTTTAAACTGTGTGTATTGCTCTTAAAGAGAAACTCTGCAGAAGAGATATTTGACTGTTGGAAGAATTACCCAGATGAGCCCAGATAGTTATAAGGAATTTCAGCAAGCATTAAATTTGTCTTTTTCTTCATTGGCAAGGAGTTTATTTTTGGTGTGAAGACTAGAATCTCTACACCTGTAAGGTTAATGTTTAGCTACTTTTTGGCCAAGCAATTTATAGATACAACTAAGCTTAAACAAGGGTGATGTTTTCTGCAGAATCTGTGCTAAGGTAAGATGATCCAAAGAATAAGGAAAGTTGAATTAAAGGAAGTAATACAGTTAAACTGTTTGTAGAGTTTCTTAATGAGTCTGTCTTGCCATTTTGCAGACTGCTTGTGAAAAACAGTTTTAGTTTTTCCCTCAGCACTGACTGATAGGCATTGTGCCTTGTTTCAAGGCTTTACTTCTCTCATGTCTTGAAGCGCTTAGAGTGTTCCTGATAAACATTAGCTGTCTTGACTTCTAATTATCATGGAACCATGTGCATAATGGGAATCTTACTCCTAAATTCAGGTGCTTACTTGAAACATGAGAGTACTTGTGTACATGCTGTCCCTTTGTGCCAAGTGTTCCTTTGAATGAGAAGACAGATGCACTCACTCTGTGTGCATCCCTGGCCTACCACTGGAGCTGCCTTATTAGGTAGATACACACTCCACCTGCCGTGTTTGGGCAATTTGATACTGGGGAAAGCTGAACAATGACACCTGCCCTCTTTTAAAAATAAGAAACTTCTTATAGGGTGCACCAGAAGCTGTTTCAGAATCAAGCTCTCAGTTGTATTTATTGACTTTGGGTGCATTTGCAACACCTAATTCAATTTGTGATTTACTTTATACAGCTTATCCTAGTCTGCTTATGATCAGTCCCACAGCAAAATCCTACCGGAATTACTTGGTCCCTACTGATGATTTGCTGCTTTTGTACATTGCTCAAATTTCTGGCATCACTGATTCTGTGTGAGGTTAATCTGTTCCAATTGTTTTTTTCCTATTAAACTGTGAAAGTGCTTCCATCCTTCTGCACTTAGTGAATCATAAGAAGTAGCTGGAGTTCTGTTAGCTCTCATGACTTGGTACGTATTTTTGCTGCAAAGCCATAGTGAGACCTGAGTTCAGATGTGCCTCCTAGAATAATGCGATGAAGCTAGGTTGAAAGTACCCTATAATCTGGGTGAAGGGATTTTGTATAGAGAAGGCTAAACAGACAAGTGGCAGTCCATGCTAATTCTGCAGTGAAGAAAAACTGAATGCTTCTACAGGAAAGCAATGTTTCTTTTGTATACTTAATTTTCAAAGCTGATTTCACACATGAATAGGGTTGTTACTTTAATGTATGTGATTATGTAATGTTGAAACCATTTGATACAGATTTTGCAATGTAGGGTGAGGTAAACCTTGAACATAGCTTCTTTTGATGTTGCTGTGGAAACCACATAGGTGGTTTTCCTTTTTTTTTTTTTTTTTTGATGTAAAATGAGAACAGGGAAACAGAATTGAAACTAGTTCAGTTATTTTTTTTCCTCGGTAACAAACTTCTAAGCTTGTTTGAGGAACTGCATTAGTTCTCAAGTTGCTTACAGAAAAGAGAAGGTAACTATTGCAGCTTCTGCAATGTTCTGCAATATCAGTACACCTTTTAGAATGGAATTCGCCAAACCTTTTAGAAGTGTGGACTGATAATCTGAGAAACAGGCAGTTGTATGCATGTGTATGAAGTAGTATTGCAAATATCCTTAAGTTAAAATCTAACTGTATGTGTATGAAAAAATCACCCATCTGTACCTCATATGTACTACAATCTCTTTTGTACCTAGTAAACAACTTTAAAATTAATCTTCTTTCTTAGTTACCTTCTTGAAAAACCTGGAAGTGTAGGCCTTATGCTGCTTTTCTCAAAGTCAGCTGAGCGGTTCAGTTATGATTGGGGCAAGTGTGTTTTACAGAATAACCAAACAAATGCAATTTGTTTCTTTTGTTTTTTTGATTCAGATGCAATTTGAATCTTTTAATAAGCACAAAATCCAAAGGTGAGTAAAATATGACCCTTATGCTTAGTATCCTTTTCTAAATTAAATCCCAGGCTAACCTGTGCTTTGTGGATATAGACAACCATTTCATCGAACTGCCAGAAGACCTACCCCAATTCCCAAATAAACTTGAGTTCATTCAGGAAATTTCAGAGATACTAATGGCTTTTGGAATTCCACCTGAGGGAAACCTTCACTGCAGTGAAAGTGCCTCCAAGATTAAGAGCCTCAGAGCATGTGACCTGGTTTCTGATAAAAGAAATGGGAACATAGCAGGATCACCTTTGAATTCCTATGAGCTGCTAAAGGAAAATGAGACTATTGCAAGACTCCAAGCACTTGTTAAAAGAACAGGTGTGAGTCTCGAAAAGGTAAGCTGTGAAGGTATCTGCACTCTCTGGACCTTCAGTAGTAGGTTGTCTGAAGTCATGGTTCAAAGACATTGTTTGTCTTCACCAGAAAGAACTTTATGTTAACATGTTCACAAACCTTGTGAACATCTGAGAGACAAGGGGAAGCTTGGGGGGGAGAGAGGGGTGGAGTTTAATCCCACATCATCTATGGAGACCTTTGGCTATCCTCCCAAGTGTTTTTTTGCCAAGGTAATGTGTTTTAAAAATCATCTTGCCTTGTTTATTCTTGGTTTTAAGATTTATTCTAAATGTACACCACTGTCCTACTATTTACATGGCTAAAACTGACATCCACGTAATCCTGAAGCTAGGATCCAATTTTGGTTTCTGTAGGTATCTTTGTGTAGGAAGAGGTAGAATATGTATATTCTACACCATTCTGTATGTAGAATGTGTATGTAGCGTATGTATAATTTTGCTTCTGTATGTTTGCCAGAGGGATACTATGATGCTTTTTTCTGGTTGATACTTTAAATTGCATTAGTGTCTGATTCCCAGCAAGTGGATGTGCACAGCTCATGGTGACCCTGGTTAGATTTTTTTTTTTTTGGCAGTCAGAATTGGGGAAAAAAGTTGTGGCCCTTTTTCATAAAAGATATTGCCTGAAAGTCCACTGTGGGTTTTTTGAGCCTTTGTGGAATGCAGTGAAGATTTTCTCAGCAAACTAAGGTTTTATTTCTTGCATGTTTAAATTATCTTGACCAGGTCTTCATTGCTGAGTCTGATTCCTACCCTGTAACTTGGGCTACAGGTGGTGCCAAATAGATAGAAATTGTGTGACCTGCGATCGGCTGGAGAGCTTCTTTGTGGGGAGGGAGCTGCAGGGTGGTTACAAGAAGGAGCATTTGGTTACTAGACCGGATTTGATGCTCAGATCAGCTGTGTTCCTCTTCTCAGGTTTTTCTTTTGCATTGTTTTATTCTTGTTGAGGGGAAAATTGCTAAGAAACATTGGCTCCTTTGCTGAATGGATTGGGAAGTAGTGGGAAAAGTACAGGTCTTTTTAATTTTTGCACATTCAAGCCTTTTCTACTCTTTTCTATAGCAGTAAAAATCCCGTTTTACTAGCCTTTTTTATGATGATAGGAGTGTATAGGTTGTAACTGTCAAAATTTTCTCAAATATGTAATTAAAAAATCTGCTTAATGCCAAATACCCAATTAATGAAGAATGTATAGATGCCAAGTGCTACTTATGAGAGGCAGCTAGAAGAAATGGCTGAATAGCAGAGCACTCTTTAGCAGGGAGCATGGCTATATGATGCTATTTATAGCCAGCCTTAGACTGCTATAACCAAGGTGCTTTGAGAAGCATGGGACAGCTGCAGCAACTGCATCATTGTGCAGATGTTGTAAGCTCTGGATATTATGTCAATTATGTGTGGTGGTGCCTCTTATAATAATTAACGAAGGCAGGGGTTGTAAATGTGTATTCAAACTAGTGCATGAATGCTTGTGGCTTGGTTTTGGTTTGTTTTTTTTCCCTAAATACCCAATTCCTATCAAACCTAATATGAACTGAATATCTGAATCTCTTAATGCTGTTTTCATAAATCTTAGCCCATGTGTTTAATGAAATATAATGCATTTTCAGTTAAAATTACTCTGGTCTGTGTAGTGATGAATTGTGCATTACATTGTTGAAGACTGAAGTTACAGGACATTAGGTACTAGAGATGCATGGCTTCTTTTTACTGTTCATTTCTATCTTCATTTGAAAGTTGGTAGGTATTAAACTGTAACAGTACTAAACCTGGACTTGTATTACACCAGACAGAAATATGTATTTGCTTAATATGCAGGGGTAGTAAAAACCACTAAAAAGCCTATGCAGGTGATTCAAGGGTAGAATAAAGTGAATCAAGTGTATGGCATACAGGGCATGTGTATGGTTGTTATCTATCCTTTTTAGTGCTAAAGTAGGTTATAGTTTATTATTGAAATTAGAACTTTTATAGACAAAGTGGTTTTTTTCTAGATTTATTTGATGTTTTATTATAGCGCTTGAAACTAATTTTTTTTTTTTTTTAATTCTTTATTGGAATGTTGACTTGAGAGCTGAGTGGCAGATTAAGAGCTTGTATATCAGGAATACCTCACAAAGCAACAATACAAATGTTTTGTGTGTTCTCTTACTTTCTCAGTTGGAGGTACGAGAGGAGACCAGCAGCAAAAAGGATCTTAAAATTCAGTGCGATGAAGAAGAATTCAAGATTTACCAGCTGAACATTCAAATCCGTGAAGTTTTTGCCAACCGCTTTACACAGATGTTTGCAGATTATGAAGTATTTGTTATTCAACCCAGTCAGGACAAGGAATCTTGGTTTACAAACAGGGAGCAGATGCAGAACTTTGATAAAGTAAGTTGTAATAAGAAGCTATGTGAATTTAAGGACTAAAACAGTACTCAAACCTAAGACTCTGTTTATTCAGCCATAAAATGAAAAACGGTACTCTCAAAATTGTACTTTATTCCTTAAATTTCAGTGTTCCCCAAAAATGTCACGTAATGTACGTGGAAGAATGCATGCATACACATGCTTAGAGGGATAAGGATATGCTTCTAAGGATAGTGTAGTAAAGTACAGTTTGCTGTAGAAAAATAGCTTAGGAAGCCTCACTTCAACGTTGATATACAGGTTAGACATTAATATCACTAGTGAAAATACTTTGTTTGTTTTATTTTTTTAACTAGAGGAATTTTCTGAATATGTTAATAAAACCATGACTTCTGATTCGGAGAAAACTCCAGGAACAAACTTGCCAACAAAGTTTTCAAGCTGACAAGCAGGTATTCTTTATTGCGGCGCCGGGAGACACGGGGGATAGCTCCTCCTAACGTGTGTCTCCCCATTGCCACACAAGCCGTCCTTTTATAGCCACTGGGCATACGTACATATTCATGAGGCTACGTGTGGATTACATAATTTTCCAGAAAGTTCCCCGCATGCGTGCAGAATTGTGGTGGTGGTCTCTGAGGGTCGTTTACTTCTTCCAACAATCTTCATCACTTCTGGCAGCCTTTGAAGCATGCGCAGTAGATGTTCATACCAGTTTGTTTTGTTAGCACCAGAGACATAATAATCCTCCCATCCTCCTACTTATCAGTTAGTTTAACTGTAGCCCATCCTGGACACCTGTGGTTCCCAGATACTCCTTATCCCTGTGTCCTGTTCTTCTAGACTGTTTTTCTTAAACTATGTCACAACTATAACGATTTATCTTGTGAGAATTCTCAGTATGTTCTCTAGCTGTACTCTATTTTTTTCCTCTATGTATCATGCACCTCAGTAATTTTCCATTGCTACTGTTACAAAGCCATCAAACTTAACATTACTTCAATCTAATTCTAAAGGTTTCTGTATTCCATTTTGTGATTTTGCACCCCTTTGTTTCACTTCACATGACACTTACGTACATGTGTACCAAACGTTTTCCTAGCTCTATTCTAGGGAAACATAAGACCCAGTTCTTCAGATTTTACTACTGTCTTCTTTACTGGAGATCAGGTATTTGTCAGCAGGATAGTTCACGGGGATGAAGATTATGTTGTAGCACTGCCTGCTAAAGCGTTAATCTGATTCCCATCAAATCATATGAAAAGATTCTCATCAATGTTGTAGGCTATGAGTCCAGTCAGAAGTACATAATATCCACACTTGTGGTACTGTTGCTGTGGTTAGCTGGGATTCTGTTGAAATTTTTTGAAAATTAAGTAAATACTAAAATCACAGTTAAATAATTGGTGTGCTATATAATAGGTGATTGTCGTGAAGCTGGAGATTTCATATAGAATGCTTCTGAGATAGACTTGACATGTGTAATAAAACTAGGCTTTAAGTGGCACCAGAGCTCTATAAAATGTCATTGATTAGCAAAATTGGTGCTTTTGGTGGATGTATCTCTCTGAAGATTCCCAAACTCTCTTATCTCATCTTGTCTGTTAGGCATCTTTCTTGTCAGACCAGCCTGAACCTTACTTGCCTTTCCTCTCAAGATTCCTGGAGACCCAGATGTTTGCATCTTTTATTGACAATAAGATTATGTGCCATGATGAAGATGATAAAGACCCTGTTTTGAGAGTATTTGATTCCAGAGTGGATAAAATTAGGCTGCTAAACGTTAGGACACCAACTCTGCGAACATCCATGTATCAAAAGTGCACTACCATTGATGAGGCTGGTAAGAGTAATAAGCCACTTTCTTGACACTGAAGAAAATACAACTAGTCAGTGCTGTTTGTGGTAAACATTAAGTAACGATTCATGCTTTGAAACCTCAAAAAAACCCAAAACCAAGCCCAAATGAAAGGACCGAAAAAGCTGAGGTATAAAGTTTAAGGGGGAAACTAAATGTTATATTGGAAGCTGAGGTGTGAGATGAAATTAATGTAAAGTTTAATTGAACTCAGCTGTTTTCCTGCATGCTATGTGTGAAAAATGTTTGAACTTAAAGAGGATAAATGTTTTTCTCCTTTTGGTGGCAATTCTTTGCTTTTTTTTTTTTTTTTCTTCTTTTTTTTTCTTTTTTTTCAATGCACTCTTGTACTGTTGTACCTGTTGGGTCACTAAGAAACTTTCACCCCCTTTCTTAAATTTGACATCCGCTTTTAGTTGAGGATGTGTGATTATAGATACTTGTCTGATTAAGACACCTTTAAAAAAAATTCTTTCTTACTGTTTCAGAGAAATCTATTGAATTAAGGCTAGCAAAAATAGATCACACGGCAGTCCACCCGCACTTACTGGACATGAAAATTGGACAAGGGAAATACGAGCTTGGATTTTTTCCCAAGCTTCAGTCTGATGTTTTATCCATTGGACCAGCAAGCAACAAGTGAGTAAGCTAGGACAACAGGTGCTGGATCTTTGCAAGGTCTATGGAATGGTACTAAAGCAGAGATATTAGAAAGCAAATCCGGTATCTTTTTGTGAGCACAAATCAGATGATGTGGGTGGGTTGTATTTGAAGGGGTTTTTGTTATTTCTCTTGATTTTTATTTTTTTTCCCCCTCTTCTTTTCCTTATTTTCCTCTCCTTTTCCTTTTTTTCCCTGCTGTTTTTCCCCTTTTTCCCCCTGCTCTTTTCTTTCTCTTTTCTGAACTTCCAGAAGCAAATTTAGTTAAGAAAGCCCTATTAAGTTTGAGGTTAAAATTGTTATATTTTGCGTTACTTTTAATTACTGTTGATGTGAAAGCATATCTCCTTACTTGATCTCAGTTAAGACCAAGCAAATATTTTAGGATATCTTCTTATAAAAACTTTGAAGGAAGAAGAAGGTGGTGTAAACTGCAAATATATATCACAAAGGAATAGAAAAATACAAAGCAAGTAAACGTTCTGTTTTTTTTAAATACTTTGGTTGCCTCACGTTGGATTCTTGTACAGAGATTCTTTTGTGTGTATTTGCAGTTGCACTTTGTCCGATGTAATTAACGTCAAAATCTTCAACATACAATAAGATAGAAACTTATTTTCACCACTGCCCTTCACCTCACTCTTGACATTTAATAATATTCTTCTGTCTGTAGGTGGACAAAGAGAAATGCTCCTGCACAGTGGAGACGGAAGGACAGACAGAAGCAACACACAGAGCACCTGCGTCTTGACAATGATCAGAGAGAGGTGAAAATTGTTCAGCTATAGAGATCTGATTTTTTTCCCCCCTTAATTGCCTGAATAATGCTCTGTAACACTTATGAAATGCCTAGACAGTTACTTGCAGTCCATCTCTGCTCTCCCTTATATGTATTTAATACAAATGAAAGTCCTTATCAGATCAGAATTTCTTAGTTTGCCTATTCTAAAGTTAAGCCATTTTTACCCCCTCTCAGGACAAAATTATTTCATCCCATGTACAGGGAGAGTTCCCTGAAAATGTTCTCACATGCTTTAAAATTTTGTGGGGTGGTTTATTTTTATTTGTCGTTGTGTTTTGAGTGGGTTTGGTTTTGGTTTTTTGTTTGGTGTTTTTTTTTGTTTGGTGTTTTTTTGTTTGGGTGTTTTGTTGGCTTTTTTTTAATATAAGGGAGGGGAGGAAGGAGAAATTAAACTTAAGTTTTTAGTCATCTATTTCCTGTTTCTAAGTAAATTAGTCACCCTGGGCTGCTTTTGTGTATTTGATGGAGAAAAGAGAATCACCTCCAGACAGTGATTAATTTAATCCTAAAATCAGAAGCATTGCCTTTTGGAGTTGCCTGGCTTTTCTCTGTAGATCATAAAGAAATTCTTAAGATGGCAGATTGACACACAACCTCATACTAAGGTGGGAATGTAAACCCCATCCATACTGTCAGGTTTGTGTCTGCCTTTACACAGCCCAGGCTGGTGCTGGTTTAGCCACCTTCTGAACTGATAATTTCTCTAATGACAGTTACTATAGCTGACAGTTATTGTTTGTGGTGAAGAGATTTTGAAAGATCTGGGTGATGTGAACTAATTACAGTACAGTTTCTGATTCGTATGATACAGACTGCAAACTGTTATACCAGGTGTTGATTTTATGGGTAATTTTGAAAATAATCTGGTTTAAAATATCAGAATTATTATTTTTTTTTGTTTAGTAACCCAAAGCTTTACTTTTGTTTAATGTATGTTTTTCATTGAAGACAATATTCTCATGCCTTGTTAAATATCTTCAGAAAAGCTTCATTTGGAATTTTATAGTCTTGTGTCTTTTAGGATAGTGCTGTTGAAATCAAATATCTTTGCCTGTCCAGTTCATTCTTTAATGTAGTGATGAGTTTGTTTCTCCAATGTACTAATTTCCAGAATTTTCTCACTGGTTTCTTAAAATTTGTTGAAGTATAGTGTTATCTATGTCATTCATAACCATGTAACAGAAGAATGCCTGCATAATAAAAACCCACCTATGAGTAGTTTCTGGCTTTGACATGTTCTCTATGATCAGATAACTCTAAAGTACTTTTTACTTAGAAGTAACAGAAGTGAAGAATAGTTGATTTGTAACCTCATTATTGCTTTTAACACTTACGCGTGAACTCCTGAGATACCAATTAGGTAATCACAAAGGCAAAAGTCTACCTCTAGTCTCTGGGGGCTTTTGTTTTGTTTTTTTAACTGATCCTTCATAAGTTGATTATCCTGTAGGAATTATTCTGTCACACAAGGCAAATAATTTGTGAGGAAAAAGAATTACAAATACAGATTAACTGCCAGATTAATCTGTACTGGTGTTTCAGGGTTGTATGCAGTACCTTTTTGATTTCATAATACTGACTGAACATTGAACCCCTCTCCCAGGTGAACCACTGACTTTCCTATTCAGTGTGAAAGAATGGGGAGGAGGCCAATCTGAGATGAACACTGGGGATCAGGCTGAGGAGGAGGCAGTGGTTTCAAAGTGCAGTGTTGTGAGTTGTAGACATATCGAAGCTTTGGGGCAGCCAACAAAACTCTGTGGAATTGAAGCTTAGTGGTTTTTAACTTGCAAATATTTGTGCCCAGTGGAGGGCAGAGTTTAAACCAATTCAATGACTAAACCCCATCTTTTCTTTTTTCCTTTCAGATTCATTACTTACGAATTTATTTTTATGTTGAATGCTTGGGAGTTCTGCATTGTATTATGTCTTCACTCTCTTCCTTTTCTGTTTTGCATGCTTTTATTACTTCTTATGTGCTTACCACTTTTCACTTTGCATGGTCTGCTTGGCTTTTTGCTACCAACTTGTCCTGCCAGCACCTGGACTTTTCCATGTCAGAACTTCCGTTGCAATTATGTTTAGTCTGGGACCAGCATGATTGGCCCTTCATGCCCTCTATAAAATCTGTGTCAGAACGTTATCTGGTATGTCCAATGCACAATATGACTGTGATCATAGTCCTGGATAAAGATGCATAGTTAAATGTATATATCATAGCTCTTTAGTATAAGGCTGATAGAGAAGGTGTGGTTTTCCCTCTGCAAAGCTTGTACTGTGTTTGACAAATTTATCTGCGTGGATAGGCTGAGTGGAGACCTCATAGCAGCCTTCCAGTATCTGAAGGGGGCCTATAAGGATGCTGGGGAGGGACTCTTCATTAGGGACTGTAGTGATAGGACAAGGGGTAATGGGTTAAAACTTTGACAGGGGAAGTTTAGATTGGATGTAAGGAAGAAGAAGTTCTTTACTGTAAGGGTGGTGAGGCACTGGAATGGGTTGCCCGAGAAAGTTGTGAATGCTCCATCCCTGGCAGTGTTCAAGGATTGGTTGGACAGAGCTTTGGGTGACATGGTTTAGTGTGAGGTGTCCCTGCCCATGGCAGGGGGGCTGGAAGTAGATGATTTAAGGTCCCTTCCAACCCTAACTATTCTATAATCCTATGATCTGTTCACTGATGTTTCGGTTGGTCATTATTTCAGTGTAAGCTAGAGAAGTTGCCTATTAATCTGAAATACGTATTAATCCTTAGCATTCTGTCAGTGCCTATGCAGGACTTTATAACTTAGTCATAGCTGGCCATGCCTCAAACAATCAATGATCAGCTGTACTGATCACAAAACATTTGTAATAGTATTCTTGCCTCTGAGGTGAAAACAGTGGCAACTCCTTGGCAATAACAGGAGCTGAAAAGCTCTTTTGAGTATATTGAGTTCAAGAAAGTATTTTGCTCAAAACTGCAGATGCTTTATAGCTGAGAACTGCTAGTAGCATTTTGAAACTGTTTATGTAAGAAACAGAATTTCTTAAGAAATGCAGGGCATAGTACAGATCTCAGATGTTGTCAAGCTCCAAGCAGAGTTTTCTTGCAGTCCTCATGTAGACTGGTCTGCCAAACTTGGTCTGGGTAATTACTATAAACTTCCATTTTATATGAAAAAATAACAAGATAATTCTCAGTGGTGGAGGGAGCAATTGAATCTCTATGCATCTAGATATCCTTGGCAGTTTGTATTGTGTTTTTGTTGTTCAGCAACGTATGTTCTAATACTAGTTAGGTAACATGAATGGGGAATTAACTCCCAGTGAGCTAGCACCCCGAGTGCCCAATATAATACTGAAAGAGGATGTAATCCTTTCCTCCTCATTGCCCAGGTGTGGGTTCAAAAAATAAGTTTACCTTTTTCCCTTGGCAAAGTAGTCTCACTTGCACTTTTATCTGTATTTGTCAATTTTCTACCCCAATATAGAAGTATATCCAAGAAGCCAGGAATCTGGGCAGCACTATTCGACAGCCCAAACTGTCTAACCTCTCTCCATCGGTAATTGCGCAAACAAACTGGAAGTTTGTAGAAGGCTTGTTGAAGGAATGCCGAAATAAGGTAACACAGAGATGGTTCTGTTCTCTTGAACCTCATACTCACCCTTTATGGACCATTTTGTGGCCAGTATGTTTGAACTCTCCTCTTCCATCTGTTTCTGCTTTATTCATATAAAGGATTTTGCATTCTAGTGAGAAATTCAGGAAAAGATAATGTATTTAGCAGTTCTGCAAGGAATGGAAACTTTATAAAGCAGATTTGTGGTAGAGAATGTAAAATGATAGAAAGATTGAATATTGTGATAGGTCTTTATCACCCCACTGCCATGTCTATTATAGTATATTTGAGTTATTACTAATGAGACTATACTATTTCAACAAGAGTGAATATTCCAAAAGAGGAGGTTCTGGTGAAAATACAGGAGCTTTTCTCATAACTAAAGGAAGTGGGTTAACAAACTTCTGAAATGTAAGTTTTCAAGCCTTAAGCAAAGAAATTTGGCATTAGTTTGTAGACATGCTTCACCAGTATGTATTCAATCATATATTCATCTGAATTAAATGTTAGTGTTTATACTAACACAGTAAAGAGAATAATTATCAAGTAGACACATTCTTGCCTTAAGTCAGTGGAGGTAATACAGCAGTTGTATATAACTTTGTGAAACTGTGTTTGGTACATGCATCTACTTTAGTTTTCTGTGTATATGAAACTGTCCAAATAATCCACTTCACTTTATAATAGAGGCATATAATGATGAAAATCCTTGAAGATAGACTGTGGAAATGCAACTCTAGTGAATGTAGTGAGCCTGCTGTTAGAAAAATTACCAGGGAAGGTGAGGAGAAGAAGCTAGAGGCTAACTGGTGATTCTTCATCTCAATTAAGAGTGTTGCCTAAGGGAGTGTTACTCATTTGAGGGATACTCTAGAATAGCAACAAAGGTGAAAAAATGTGTAAGAGATGATCAGAAGTGATTCCCTAGTAATTTTCCCTCCAGGTCACTATGCATTGAATATTTTGTGACTGGGAGACTGTACTTCTAAATGTTGGTGAGAGCTTTGTTGACCAGAATGAAGCTGTGCATGATTTAGGAGGATGTGGCTCATCAGGAAACTCAGGAGGTACACTCCAGAATGGGTTTGGTTTAAACAGAAACACCCTTCTGACAGAATGGGATCTCACAAGAATAACATATCCCCCTGCTACTTGGAAGCACTTGTGCATGTTCACCTACGTTTGGAAGACACGGACATAGCATATTGCTCCTTGTCCAGCATTCATCAGTCTTCAGAACCACTCAGGACCTGTGTTGCAGGGCCTTGCTGCTAGGCCTCTCCCTTGTGAATTTGTATCCTGCTGTTCCCTTTATTCGAGTTACTCTGTGGAAGCTTATGTGCCCATTTGCAAGCCCCTGTTAGAAGGATGGAAGAGGCTGTAAAGTAGTCAGCATTGCTGCAGCCATGGCTTGAAAGACAGGGGTAAAAGAAATGCAGTCATGCACTAGCTTCAGAAATACTGTGTATACCCAGTTACTCTGCCAAATCTTAGCTATCGTGTGCTTCCTTGTTGGTTATTTAAAAAGTGTAAGTGATCTTGGAAGTTTCTGTGGAAAGAATTAACTCATTTTTGCCTTCTCCTATTTGAGACCAAGAGGATGTTGGTTGAAAAAATGGGTCGAGAAGCTGTGGAGCTAGGTCATGGTGAAGTGAATATCACAGGTGTGGAAGAGAATACCCTGATAGCCAGTCTGTGTGACCTCTTAGAAAGGATATGGAGCCATGGTCTGCAGGTCAAACAGGTGAGGAACAAATACTTCTGTATGTTGCAGAGTGCACTTTCCTAAAGTCATGTTACGCCCTTCCAGTTTCTGCTTCCAGAGGCTACCTTTTGTGTGCATATAGATGTGTTAAAATACTTGTGTCTCCCTCCAGCCTTTTTTTATGTCAGTTACTTCCTCCTTGTCTGTCTCCACTTTCTGCTCTGGGGTATGTGCATGTGTACATGTAGATGGGTTCCACAGATGACTTCTTGGAAGACTTTCTTTCCATTTAACCTGGGGGTTTTGTTTGGTTTGGTTTGTGGGTTTTGGTGTTGTTTTTTTCTTTTTTTTAATAGGATGGTAAATAGAACTTTTTTGGTGTTCTTAATACTTTTGCTAATGAAGTTGCATAGGCTAGAATGCAGCATATGCTAAAGATGCTCTAAATGGGATATGGTATAGGGATTTTGTTTTCATGCATGTTAATTTAGTTTTTAAGAGTAAAAGCCTTCCTATTTTTGTTCTTCCTGAATGATAGAGGGATAGTTAAGTGATGTATACAAGATCACTAGTTAGGGGTGTTGTTTTTCCTATGAAACTCATAATTGTCATGTTCTTCTGTTTTGGAGTCACATGTGGGACTAGATGGATTTTGGAATGCCTTTATCTTTTCCTCCTCCTTTGTACAAAGGAATAGCAAGGACAGTGAGAATGATAACTTATTCTTTTTTTAAGGAATGTGCAGAATAAATATACATAGTCCAGTCAAATTGTAATTCAGTATCTCTGTTCCCAACACCCAAGCACCAGGGTTTAAATCTGCTCTCCTTCAAACTACATAGCAGTTCTCTATGTGAAGATTTATTGTGTGATTCTCTCCCTTCCCTCTTGTATACCACTTAGGATAGAAGCTGTACTGCTTTCATCTTAGAAGACAGAGCATCAGTATACTCTGCTTCAACTCAGATTTGGGCCTTTCAGACCACCAGACGGCCAACCCTACATAAGGTTAATGCTTTGGATTGATTGCAGATGTTAGCAAACAGTGCTGAATGGTGGAATAAATAGAGTGGTGGAATATAATAGAGGCCTGATGGAGGAAGTGCAGCACATCTTATATTATGATGCACCACCAGTTCTGTGTGTGCTGTGGCCTTTATTAAATTCGCAAAAGCCTGCTGGTCTAGACATGGGTTTTACTTTATTTTTCAATATGGAGCCAAGTAAGACTCATCTTTCACAATTGAGCATAGTAATGAGGATGACTTTCCTTCCACCAATGCCTGCTTTTACCTCTTCCCTGCTGATGAACCCTGAAAATCCTACATTAGCTTCCTGCCAATTCTTCCACCTGCAGAGTGAATCCACACCTTCCTTTGCCCAGAACAATGCAGGAGAGTTGTCAGATATAGGATCTAATGACTGAAGTAGTCTGAACTTTCAGAAGGCTATGGTTATTCTTTTGCCTGTTCTCTGTCCCACTGCTTCCCTTAGGCTGTGCTGTGTTCCTTTCCCTTATACAGCTTGCATTGTCATTGCTATTTGGTGAAGTTAAAGGAGAGTAACATGATAGTAAAGGAAGCAGGCAGATATATGTATGCTGTATGAGTTCTTACATTCATCATATTGTTGACATCTGTTTGCTGCAGGACCCTTTGCTGCTTTATGTGAGCTGTTGCAGTTTTCCTTGCCATGGAGACCAGTTGCTGAACACTAGACTATGCGTGCATGTGTGTGTTCACTGAGAGAAATACCATTTTGAATGTAGCAGTTCCATGGTATTTTTCAGGCTCCCTTTTTATGTTTTTATAAGACTTGCAATTTTGGCTTTCCACGTTGGATCTGTCAGGTATACACATGAGATATTGAGCTGCTCTGAATTTTGTTAAAAGTTCACCAGTGAATACATATTTTTAATAGATTTCACTCAACACAGATGTTAGAGACACTCTAGGCATTATCTTCTGGAGGCAGGCCACTTCTGGAGTAATCCCTCATGGTCATTAGTTCTTTATGTCAGCGAGTGAGCTATACTGTTAAATATACTGTGAGCTATACTGTTAAAATTCAGAGATTTTTAAAGATAGAGTTTTTTAAAAAAGATATTTCAGAGATGAACTACAATTACTTCACTTTTAGGAAGCCACTTACATGACTTTAGATGACACTGATAGTGCAGAATTGACAACTGTTGCTTTACAGTCACAGTTTCTGCACAAAGTTGTAAATAAAAATATGGCTTTATAATATGACTGCATTTCTGAAATGCAAAACTGCAAAATCTTTCCTGGGATTTCAAGTTAATATAATAATTTAGGGTAATATTAATAAATTTCCTCTCTAAGTAATTTCAATCAATGTCTTTGAGAGCCCCTGTTAGATTACTGCTGCCTTTCTGTGGCTTTGCAAGATTTTGGTTTATTGTGCAGAATATTTTAGGATGAATCCAAGAATCTATTTAGTTTGCCAGTGAAAGATTTCCTCAACTCTGCGTTAAGCTACCAGCAGTTTAAGAAAGCAACAATGAGCAAGGTACACCTTTTAACATCATTTGACAGATTTACTTTGGCCTAAATACTACATCCCAAGCTGTAACTTTTAAGTTGGTTTTATAATGTGTAGCATTGGAGTATTATTGCTGATGTGCTTTCATTGTCTTGTTTGTATTTTGAGTTGTCGTATTATGTGTGTGATTATCTAAGTCCTTTGCCTGATGAAATAGAGGGGGATCTTTTGGGGTTCTAAAAATTGACAGCATGCAACTGTAGCCCTGTATTACCCTCAAGAGAACAAATGCACAAGGCTTGGTCTGGGTATAAGATGGTTTACTCAGGCTGGTTCTGTATCTCTTGTCACTTCACTGCTGGAGCGGCAGGGTGGGAAAGACACATAGTACATGTTATGTCCTCAGAACTCTGCTTGCACATAGTGTTTTACAAGCATTTAAATGTTCTGTTATGATGTTAATGAAGTATGAGGAAGGAAGTTCAGTTGGCTTTTTTCCTGTTACCAGAATCGTTAGATCCCAGTAGTTTGACTCTGGTTTTTCTTTCTCAGCCTCTTTACAGTTCCTCAGCACCACCAACTTGTATTTCGTTTCTGGTTTTTACCAATGGCTTTGTAGGGAAAAACATATTTAAATCAAGTCATTGTTATGGCTGGTACTTTCAATGGTGATTTAAACTTTTTGTTTTAAGTTTATTTAGCTGATAGTGATTTCTTTAATGAAGTTTCTGTTTTGGTTGGTTGTTTTTTTTTTTTTAAATTTTAGGGAAAGTCTGCTTTGTGGTCTCATCTGTTACACTACCTAGAAAACAGACAGAGAAAAACTACATCAGGCAGTTTCAGTACCTCAGGTAAGATTGGATTCCACTTGAAGAAGATGATAAAAAGTTGAGTAAGAGCTGCCTGCAGATTTGCACCACGCAGAGATTGTTTCCTTGGAAATATCCTTCACTCAGTATAACTGAATCAAGTATTCTATCTGCTACAGAATTAATATGGACCTGGTGCATTGTCCCAATATATTTTGTGAAAAATAAACTTGTTTGGATTGAGCCTGTTTTTTTTTGGTCTGATGTCTGCCTACTGCAGATATCGGAAATATCTGGTGTTTCAAAGATAGGCTTTAAAATTTATTGCTGTGATATACCAGCCTTCACATGACACATGGTCGTTGCATGGCTGGCAGAGCATGTTGAATTGTGGATGGGAGTGGAAAACAAGTATAAATAAATACAATTGAGTTCTATGTACTGAAATTTTACATTCTGTCTTGAAAAACAATTGAACAGTAGGCTTATTGTTTAAAAGAAAAAGACATGGACAAAACTGCAGCAAAACCAAGAACAAACAAAAAACACAGTAGAAACATTTTGTTATATACAGTGATGCAGTACCAGTAATATTACAAGGTGTTTCTAAGGTTATTAATTAATTTTTAAACACTGCTACTTGTGTCAGATGTGGGCATATGGTTAACACAAGTTATACCCTTTGTGTATCATTCCAAAAAAGGGGTATGGGGGGGGTTGGGGGTGGCAGTGGGTGCTGTAGGCAAAAAGCTGAGAATTACTAATTTGCACAAGGTCCTGTAAGTAATCAAAACCAAAGATTTGGAAAGTATTAAGGTCTCTTGAATGTCACTTGGTCCACAGTGGTTTTGTGTATCAGACTGAAGTTGCAGTCATTTTCATGCTTTCTAACTTCGGATTGAGGGCAGGGACTGTATTTAACATACAGCTTGATTATAGAGTGGAATTTGAAAGATAAGAGTAGTAATGTTGCTTAAAACCCCCAAAGTGTTCTATTTTTAAAAACAGCGGTGTTACAGGGGCATGCAAAGTGATAGATTAGTTAAGTATGATGTGTGGTGTACTGAGCAAAACGTTGAACACAGTTTTGTGTTGTCAATAGTGCCAATCATTTTTACTATATAGAAAGAAAATAGGATAGTCTGTAGAAATTAATACTTGATTAGTATATGTCTTAAGCCATTTGATGTCATACCAATTTCAGTTTATTCTAAGCTCATTCATGTGTTTAATGCTCAGGGTGTGCTGATCTGCATAACCATCTGTGTAGCATATTAGATTTTCCTGTCACTTGAAATGGAAATATGCCACAATATCTTCACAAAGCAGTAAGACACCAGTACTCAAGAGTGCAAGTTGATGTTAATTGACCTTTTTTTTAAATATATATATTGATTTAAAAATCTTTATATGAATTTATACTAACAATTCTGTTTTTCTGAGTCTAGGAATACTTCTTGATTCAGAGAGGAGAAAGTCTGATAGCAGTCCAGCCATGTCACCTCTTAGAATCTCTCTCGTCCAGGATATGAGGTGAGTTTAAGCTATTAAAACTAACACAGAAACTTACGAGGTTTGCATACCTGTTTCTGTGTTTCATACAGGAAGAGAGGAATGTGGGCAAGAAACCTGCTGAAGTGTTTTAAGGTATATAGGGCAACCTTTTCACTGACCTTTACAAAAACATTTCATATGGTTGAGATTTTATATTGTCACAGCTACTGCTTATAGAAATACCCTGGCATAGTTTTAATCTTCTGTTTTTTCTAAGTATGCTGTATTGTTTTATTTCCACAGATATGTGGGTGTAACGTATGTGTTTTCCCTTTCATTGACAAGTTGGTTGCATAGCTGTGAGCTCAGTCTTGATTCTGAGTGAAGAAAGCAGTTTAAAGAACTTGTTTGATATAAAGAATGGGTTTATCTGACAATGAGTGCTGTAGTGTGAGTAAAACTATAACTTATGTTCAATGCCTTCTTTTCAGTACATCAAAAAACAATATGCATAACTTCTAAATTATTTTTGAAAGGCCTTTTTTGTCCTCTTTTTTCCTTACTAACATCTAATTTTTTCAGTAGGGAGGAGTGAATTTTCAAGGGACATGCTTGTCCTTTCAAAATTTGTTCCTCGTATGTAAGAAAAGCTACTACTGAGCATACAAAGACAGTATTTAATTTTACAAAGCACTCGGGCATAAATACTGCAGTGATAAGGTCCAGAATGATTCTTAAATCATGTGAGGCAATGGGCCTGCTTTAGAATTTTGTAAATAGGGCACTGCATTGCAGATATTTCCTTTTCAGGCTCTTACTCTTTTTGAGCTAGATCTGCAAGGAATTTAGATAGGGCTGAATGTTTAGGTGATCGTGTCTCTTTCTCCAGCAGTTTGCCTGGTATTTTGGCTTGATGGATAGCTTGATTCAAAAGGGCTGTCACACTTTGAAAATACTGGACAGTGTCTTTTGTTTGTTTTTTTCCTCCCAGGCATATCCAGAACATTAGTGAGATCAAAACAGATGTTGGGAAGGCCAGAGCCTGGGTTCGTCTCTCTATGGAAAAGAAGTTGCTTTCTAGGCACCTAAAACAGCTGCTTTCAGACCATGAACTCACAAAGTAAGACAATTTATCTAGGACAAATCTTTTAAAAAATAAAACCTGTTCAGTTGTTTAACTTCAAAAACTCGGAAGCTCCTGTTCTTCCATCTGCTTAGCAGTGTGCAAAAGCAATAGAACTAACTACCCTTTTAGGGGTGTCTCTGTACCTGTGTGTTTGGAATTATGATTCAGTGATGGCCTTCTTCAGATACAGAATCAGTTCTGTCGGACTGCCTGCAACTTCGAGGTGAAATCTTAAAAAATTGCTAGGGATTAAATGAAACAGGGCCCAAGTCCAAACACCACTACTTTGCTGAATCAAGCTTTTTATTTTGGCTCACTTTCTGTAACTGTGGGATATTTTGTGTTCCTTGGATTGTTTGTGTGGTTTTGCAGTGCATGGCAAAGTGCAGCTTAGGTCCTGGTAGCAGTTGGGTCATGGCATGGAAAGTGTAAAGGCACATCCACATTGGTTTTTGTGGTTCTGATTAGCGTGATTCAGACTGACTGTTCCTTAGCTTCTCACTTCTCTTGCCAAATCTGAGACATTCTTGTAACTGCTTTCACAGCCATGTAAAATGCTGTAAATAAGCCACACCAGAAGTTGATTTTAAGAAAGCAGATGAATAGTGTACATGTAGTACCTTGGAGGTGACTAGGAGGGCTGTGGTGCTCAGTTCTTGAGTCTCATTCTGGGGCCATAAGCTTAAGATGAGATCTGGTAATCTTTTGAAATCTTCCATCTAAATTTTTCAGAGCATGATTGTCCACATGTCTAGTTCAAACTGACAGTGTCTCAGCTTTGTTCATCATCCCCTGCACACTAAAGGTTTTGCATTTATAGCCTGCTTAAGAACATAAAGTAAATTCTTTTCATAATAGTCAAATGTTTGCTATTATGATCCATTTTTGGTTTTATTACTTCTCCTAAATATTTCAAAATACGTCACTTCTGATTCCTCGTGCACAAAGTCATTAAAGAAAATATGAAAAGACCCAACCACTGAGACCCAAGACACTACTTAAAGAATAATTGCACTATGGGAAGAAAAGGGGACAAGTATATGAAGTATGAGGGGGAGGAAGATGTGAAAACTGAAGAATGAACCTGTGGAGTTCCAAACACTGCTGTCTTAAACTCTCTCTGAAGTACTCTGTGCTAGTCCTTCTTATAAGTACTCAAAGGACAAAAGGAGAAATGCTCAGAGCAAGGACCTGTGTACATGATGTCCAGAGCACATGCACATTATATTGTCTTTGTAAACATAAGTATTTTGTAAATAGTTGCATAAATCAGAGTACAAGCCTATTTTTTTTTTTAGGAGTAAAGATTTGAGATTTATTTAGTATAAGCTGTGCAGGAAAAAAAAAGTGTGCTGATAAGGTTGAATATACTGGTTATTGCACGGAAACGAAAGGTTCCTGTGTATGGGCCCTAGTAATAGTCACTAGCTTTATCTGAAGACTTCTTTCTGGAGACAGTTTAACCTATGCTGTCTACTCTTCATTTCCTCTGTTCCCGCTCATGTCACCTTCCAAGAAATGTCTTCCCCCCGAATGCCCCCAAGCCCCAGTTGCTTCTTATTTGATATTTGCCTTGTATTGAATTATTTTGAACATTCTGAGGAAGCTGTGGCCTTCCAACAGTGAGTAAAGAAAAGCTGAAAGGCAAAGTCAGGACACCTAATAAATCTACTTGTATCTCTAAGTTAAGGTTAGCCCTCTTCAGTCAGGTCAGCAGTCCAGACTGGGTTAAATTAGCTGTGCTTTCCCCATGTAGAACAAGTGCTGCGAGAGGACTCTGAGCATATTCTCCTCCTCCCCTCCCCCCCCCAAGAATTAAAACCTCAGCTCTATCAGACACATTCTAATTCTCTAGAGTAGACTGAGACAGTTGCAAAAATATGTTTAAAATGAAAGTGAAGGAGCAACTTGTATAGAAATGACATCAATTCTTTGCAATCCTGTGTGCCTTGTGCTACATATTTAGATACCCTACTTAAAATTGTTCTGTGCTGCATGGTTTTAAAATGTGCTCCATTTGGTTTTAGAGGAAGCAGTGCCAAGTTCAGTGAGGTACTAATAGTAATTGTGCAACTGCTGACATTTTACAGTTAACTTGATTGTATTTGAAGCAACTATTAGATATTTTAATTAACTCATTTTCTTTGCTTGGCATTTGCTAAAAATACACAAAACCTGAAACGTTTCATTTCTTTCTAGTCTGCAAAAGGACTAGAGTTAGGGAATAGAAGGAAGTCACATTACTTCACTCCCCAAACACCATTGTGTGCCCAAGTAAACTGGGAAATCTTACACTCTGAAAAGGCAGGGCAGCACATACCCTTGTAGACAGGCTGTCTAAACATGTGGTTCAGATTGTTCAAATGAAACATGGACACAATCACCCACAAGACCTTTGTGGGTGTCCTGGGTTCAGCAGTAGCAGTCATTTTTCTCCTTCTTAGTAGCTGGTGCAGCGCTGTGTTTTTGACTTTCAGCCTGAGAACAGCACTGATAACACCGATGCTTTTAGTTGGTGCTCAGTAATGTTTACTCTGACCAAAGCCTCACGCTCTGTCAGGGAGGAGGGGAAGCTGGGAGGAAGCAGAGACAGGAGAACTGACCCAAACTAGCCAAAGAGGTATTCCATACCATAGCCCATCATGCCCACTATACAAACCGGGGGCAGTTACCCAGAAGGGCTAGATCACTGCTCGGTCAGGCTGGGCATCAGTTGGCTGGTGGTGAGCGGTTGTATTCTCTCCCCTTTTTATTTCCCTTGTCATTATTATTATTGGTGGTAGCAGCCCATGGGAGTTACATTCTTTCAATTCTCCTCCCCATCCCTCCAGGAGCGGGAGGAGGGAGGGGGGGGAGTGAGTGAGCGGCTGTGTGATTCTGGGCTGCCGGCTGAGCTTGAAGCACAGCAGTGGGATTGCTACTCCTGTGACTACAAGCAGGTTATGTTGATTTAAGGCTCAGTATCTTTATTTCCTTTGAACATTTCCTGTCAATCTCTCATGTTACGTTTGTTATACAAGTGAGAATATGTGTGTGTGTTAATCATAATTGATCTGCTTTGCAAATTTCTGGCTTGTGAGTCACTTGCTGACATTTTTGTAATTGATGTCTGAAATTGAGGGGAGTTGTCAGGATGCGCTCCTAGCAGGAAGAACCTGGACATGGCTGTGTCAGCATTTCGTGCATTCGTGCCATTTTGAATATTCCTCTGGCATCAGTCAGATTTTGATACATCTTGGAATGCTCTTTTATGATTATTCACCAACACTGGTATTATTTATTTGTTGCATAATTAACAAAAATAGTGGTGATTGCTATGTACAAGTGAGTAACTTAAGAGTATTTTCGAGTCAAAATTTTGCACTTAAAAAGCTTGAGGTTGTAAATTCATTTCAAGGTTTCTCCCTTGCAAATTATGCAGTGTTAAAGTCTCTAATGTGTTTGAGTAATTTCAATAAATGTAAAAGATTGTTTCCATTAACAGTTTATCCTTCTGCATAGGTGTTAGTGTTTGTGTTAGTAGAGAAGGCTACTGAGCTACGTCTTTTGATATTTCCACTTAAAAGAAGTTGCACTTCTGTTCAGTGTTGCAGTCAGAGGAAAGTGTTTTCAACCCAGTAGAAGGGAACAGTAGGACTTTAAGCCTTTAAGAAGGACTTTAGACATGCAAGACTTTGCATGTCTATGATTTTGTTCATCAGGAGCTGTGTACTGTCAGCACTGAAGCTATTCCCTGGATTTTGTGCAGGTTGTTGTAGGCCTTGGTTATCACCTATAGTCCCAGTGTTTGCCCTAGTGTCCTTTGAAAACAGTCTTCTGTCTTATGTCATGTGCTGGTGGACTCTCCCATGGCACAATCTGCTGGGAAGTAACTTATGAGGACTCTCTTACTTCAGTTCTGTCATTTTACATTGCCAAAAAGTAGTCAAAGAATACAAAATTACTTTTTCCATCTTGGGGTGTTGGGTGGGAGAAGACCCTTAGACCACTCCAAACTTTGATTTCAAGTGGTGAAAAATAGTGTGGACTATTGGACTGATGCACTTGGGAGACTTCAGACTTGCAGAATGTCAGCATACCTTGGCACATTAAATACTGTTTGCTCTACCAGAATCACTTGTCATTTGTAACTGCTTGCCCATTCTTCATAGTTTGCTTAATAAATAAGCACAGTAGGAAATGTTTCACTGAAAGTATCTTGTTACTATAACAAATCATTTGTTTTGCTTTGTCAGAAAACTCTACAAGCGTTACGCATTCCTCCGCTGTGATGATGAGAAAGAGCAATTCTTATATCATCTCCTGTCATTCAATGCTGTTGATTACTTTTGTTTTACCAATGTTTTCACAACAATCTGTAAGTATTTGCTTTCCCTGGAACTCTGATTTTCCAGATTTGGTTGAGTCCTTATCCAAAAATTCTAAATGGCTCTGAGCAACATGCCTTAATGTATTTGTTCGTCTTTTCCCGGCATGCATCTGAGTGTGCTGTAACACTGTTTCTGTGATCTTCTCTGGTGGGCAGTAGTGTCTCTGTTTGTGTCACTAAAGGCTTTTGTTTATAACCTTATAAAATAAGCAGCTTTAATCCTTTTAGTTGAGGGAGAGTTCTCAACAGCAAATTTTGTGGGCTTGTTTCCATGATGCTAAACAAGAACCGTATGGATTGCTCATTAACAAAGTAAGAATATTAACACCTGCTCGGAATTATAAGAAAACAAAAAATCTTTCCCCTTTCAGGCTCAGCCTACTTTGCCATATGCCTGTCTCTGAGTTTCAGATGACAGTGAAATGCCCATTGAGGGCTGCATCGGAACTCTGCAATGCACTGAAGTGCTTGTTTTGCTTTCTTTTCTTTCTTTTTTTTTTTAAATAGATGCCCTAGAGAAACTTTTAACCTGTTATTGCTGATGCTTAAGCATATTACAGAGTCCTCATGCATTTGTGTACCTGCTGCCACAGGACCTCACTAGTAGGGAAGAGTAAGGAAAGACTTTAGCAAGGCTTATAAAACTGGGGATGGGGGAGTATGAAAGGACCCCTGTGGCCCCATGGTAGGAGCTACCCTTGGTGGTGTGTTATGTTATGATCCATATTTATGTGTATGAAAGACAAAGCAAGCAAACATCTAAAATGTATGTAAAATGATTTGAAGCAGAATATGTTTTGGTGGTCTTGTGGGCAAGTTCTGGACAATGCTAAAATCTAGTCTGCTGCATAAAGTTGTCACTTACTTTAAGACTATCAGCACAGAAAATAAAAAGGGAAGCATTAATTAATTCTTAAATGCTATGAGCATCAAGCTTTTAAGAAAATCCAACCACCAAATAGTTTATTGAGGGCTCTGACAGCTGAGGAGACATTGAGAAAGAAATATATTAAATGCCTCAGCCAAAAAGCTCTAATTGCAATCCATTTATGCACTATAAAAGAAGGGCAGATTGCCAAGAAACACAATGACCATTCAGATAATTGGATTTTGTTATAAAAGTTTGGTTAATAGGGATTGTGCATGAGATGCTAGGCAATTGAAGAGCATGTGCGTTTCCTCAGGAGCAGATGCCTCCTGAGTCGGAGAAGGGGCTGTAACTTGGGTGATACTATGTTGAATTAGTGACTGGTAAACCAGGGGACCAGGAAGTGTTTGAGCAAGTCTTGTGCCAGTTAGAGGGGAAAAAGCTGTTTATTCTTTTTAGGATCAAGAAGTCTTACAGATAGCATAATTAAGAGCAATATGGTACAGACAAACTTTCAGCATTATAAACTATTTTCACTGAATTTGTTCAGCCACAGTAGTGAATGCTGGTGCAAGAAAACCCTGCAAAAACAGGCTTTGGTTATTAATTGAGTGGAGATTGGTGTTAGCTGTGTACTGTGCGTACATGCACAAACAAAAGCAGGCAGTTAGGAGTTGAGTATTGAGTTGGATGCTGAGCTGCAGTGTAGTCCTAGATACATGAATATTCTGTCTTTACTTTCTCGTCTCTAAGCTGGGGACGAGTAACCATCTTCATGATATGTTTTGAGACTGGTAAATGAAAAATTACTTTACTTACATGAAGGCATTATGCCATCCATACTTCTTTTTCCAGTTGACAGTGTTTTGCTGTCAGCTCTGCTTCTTAATGACTGCTATATGTACATTTCCTGATTGTCAATCAGTGCTTAGTATGCAGGTGTTAGCATGATTAAATAGCAACTCTGATGTTTTAACATTTCATGGTACTGCGGTATTATTTTGACTTACCTTCCCCCCCCCCCCTTCATTAAAGAGGTTATGTAACTATCTTTAATTTCTGAAGTGTAATTTTTTCTTGTGTTTGCAGTGATACCATACCATATATTGATTGTTCCTAGCAAGAAACTTGGTGGCTCAATGTTTACAGCCAATCCTTGGATCTGTATCTCGGGAGAACTGGGTGAAACAGGAGTCCTGCAGATACCCAGGAATATATTAGAAATGACTTTTGAGGTTTGTATTGCTTGAAACAAAAAAATGCTTTGGATGTTCTGTTTGTTCAGTTTTAAATTCCCCCTTTGCTGTACCATCGTGCTATACATTTCATATTATTAATCTGTGTGGTTAATCACAAATATTTCCTGTGCCTGTACATAATGAATATATTTAATAACATGTGGAACTAAATGACTGACAAATCCTTAGTGCAAATATGAAGACTGTCTTTATATTACAACTTTGTGCTGTTATGGTGGGAGGTATCATATCCTCTTCTGTTGGAAGCAAAGTTATTCTGCACTGATTTTTGTGTGTGTGCATGCATTGGGTAAAATTTAATTGAAAAATCTAGTTTAACTGTGTTGTTTCTGATGATGAAAATAGCATTTAACAAATGAAGAAGCAAAGAAAAGCAAACAAAGCCAAGTAAGGCAACCTATACCTAAAAAGTCCAGAATCAATCATGCAGTCAGAAAAAGGGAACCACATTTCTGATTCCCTATCTGAGCATGTTCTTTAATAGTTTGTGTCTCCAACGTGCTGCTCTTTTTCAGTTTGCACTGACAAATTCTTTGTTTAATTTGCAGTGCCAGAACCTGGGAAAACTGACCACAGTGCAGATAGGACATGATAATTCAGGGCTGTATGCCAAGTGGCTAGTGGAATATGTTATGGTCAGAAATGAAATAACAGGGCATACTTACAAGTAAGTATCATCCTGAAATTTCATGTTGGGTAAGTAGAATTTCTGCGGGGAGCTGGCACAGTAGCGCTTGTTTGGTTAGAAAGGTCTTATCTCCTGGGACTTTGTGTCTACAGTTGCTGCTACCTGAAGGCATAGAAAGGTCATTCGGCTTCTGGCATTAAACAAGTTGTGATTCTTGTAAAATTAAGCAGAGTTTTCAGTTTGCAGATGCTCATGTTTAGCCTTAAAACATTGGTGCAGAAGCTGAGTTGAGTGTTGCACATCTTAAAAATAATCTCCCTCGAACCCAAGGAAGAAATAGCAAGTTAGAGCTTGCAGCTCATCAAATATGGGTGGTATTTTATAGTAAGGCTGAGTGCTCTAGGTGTTACAGAGAAACCATTGGATTACACACTCTGGGACACAGGGGCTTACAAGTGTTGGAAACCCGTGTTTGCATAGTGAAAGTAAAGGAACGAGATTTACAGTAAAAATTAAATTAGGTACAGCATAGTTTGATGCCCTGTCCTTTGTCAGAGAAACTGTCAGGCTCATGCTGGTGACAAACTGGTGGGTTAAGTCCACTCAGTTTTCCATGTCAGCTTGTTTGTAATTAAATGAAGAAGCAAGATTCTAGTTTTGGATACTGTTCAGTTTTCTGATTAATCTAATTAAACTGACATCAACATAGATTTGTAGAAGGTGATGATAAGCAAGTGAGCATGTGTGTTTTCTGTGTCTAATTTAATATCCCAGTTTCAACAGATGTACAGGTGTTTCGGCCCTTCAGTACATGTTTGGGGTTTTTTTTTGTTTTGTGGCTGGCCTGCTATGTAATCGATGAAAGCATAGGAGTGTTTCACCACCCTATTATAGTGTGTAGCTGGTCTTCCCCTTCTACCTCTTTTTCCTCTGCAGCCCTCAAATCATATACTACATACAGGACAAGACAAAATCTGCCACTCTTTGCTTTGCAAATAATTCAGTGCAACGTTTAGGACAAACTTGAAACTGAAAAAATGGTTTATTTTTTACACCTCGGTTGGCAAAAGCCAAATCCAAGTTTTTGTTGCTAGATGAATGGTGTATTTCTAATAGCTATACTAGCAGAATTTGGGGTTTATGCAGCTGCAGTTGAAAGTTTTTGGCATGGGATTGAATCTGGGATGAAGGACTTGATACACGTATCTCCTTTATGTTTTTAGGTTTCCCTGTGGAAGATGGCTTGGAAAAGGAATGGATGATGGCAGCTTAGAAAGGATCCTGGTGGGAGAGCTGCTGACTTCCCACACTGAGGTTGATGAGCGGCAGTGCCGAACCCCTCCTTTGCAGCAGTCACCAAGCATGATCAGAAGATTTGTCACTATATCACCAAACAATAAGCCAAGTGAGTGGTGGAGGTTGTCTTGTCTTATACTGTCTGCATCATTACCTGAGGAGAGACGTTTGCAAACAGACCTATAGTTTCCTTGTATTTTAGAACTGTAGCTTGGAGAGAACCTGGGAAACTCACTTAGCCCAAACCCCTGCTCAAAGTCCAGCTAATTTCTGAATTACAGTCCTGAGCAAGCTGTTCTATCTAATCAAGTTCTGAAAGTCCCCAAGGATGGAAGGAAGAAGTCTCTGGACTTCTGGTTCAGTGCTTAGCAGCCCTAGTGGTGTTTTCTGTATTCTTGTCTTTCATCTGTGGAATGAATGCTATGGAGGAAAGTAGAAATTTTCTGTCCTGTCTTTACCTGTCCTTCATGGACAAAAAGCTTGCTAGTGGTTTCTGTTAATGGACTTCAGTTTTCTATTGAGATTGTTGTTCTGGGCTGTTTTCTTCCTGATAAATTAGGAACAGGTGGTTATTTTTTTCCCAAGCATGGTTGGGTTTACAGTGAAGCTATCACAGGAATTATTTCTAGGACATCCAAGTTTTGTGGTCCTAATCAAAGCACAGCTCTTTTTCTTAGCTTTGGGCCCTGGTCTGAAATTTCATTTAATATGTAAAAACCCTTTCCACCTGTTGTTGTGTTGAAACACCACAGTGTTAGTTTTGGTATAAACCCAAACCATCTCAATTTCTATCTCCTCCACAGTAAGTAAAAGTAAAAGTAGATTTCTATTACCCATAGTCCAGCACCTTTTCACTAACAGCATAAGTTTTGCTGGTTCATGCTCCTCTTCTTTTTTTCTATTGTATGCCTCACTCCTTGTGAAGAGGTACGATTTGTAAAGTTGTTACAGAGTGGTGACTGGATATATTTTTGTATTTTGCAGAGTTAAATACTGGTCAGATACAAGAAGCTATTGGTGAAGCTGTAAATGGTATTGTTAAGCATTTCCACAAGCCAGAGAAGGAGGTAAGGAGGAGCTGCTTGTGTAGTGGCACTCCTGTCTTAACTCTTATTAGTAACTGTAACATTCTGTTAATTTCAATGTTAACATTCTGGTATTGGAAATAGTGTTATAAGTTAATTCTGCCAAGGATTCTACCCATACCACTGTCAACAGTGTGGCCTCCTGTTCAGTTTGTTCCAGGTTAACTGAGATTTTACATCTGCATCGAGTAATGAGTAGGGTTTTTTATGCCTGTTTTGCATTATCTGTGCTACTTAAAACATGAAAACCCATAGGGCACTTTAAAATGAGCAAACAAGATGCACACCCAAACACCTATCCCACACACAGACCCTGCCCAGCAAGTGAAACAGAAGTGCTCTCAAAGACTCAGGTACACTTCTACATTATACATGTAATCATCGTAACAGAAACTGTGGTTATTTCCTGAAACAAGCTTAAGCAGCATGCCTCTGGTAAACCATCACAATCCAGCCCTTCTGAGCCAGAGTGGTCAGAGCAGTGCTGGCTCCTGTATGGATATCTCTTGAAAGTCATTAATTTTATTAAAAGCATGTCCTCCCATTCCTTCTGCACCAATCTGCTTGAAGTTCAGTGTTGCATGGCAAATTCACATACAGTGTAATTGTGGTTGATAATCATGTTTACACAATAATCTGAAGTGTCATGCACTGGGTTTGCAAAATACAATTTACCATCATGTTCTAAGGATTTTTTTCCCCTGAGGTTTAAAAATTTCATGAGATGTTGTTTTTGTTGATAAGCAAACACTCTGAGGCACCTGCTGCAATAGACTTGGGATCTTTATTACTGAAGAGGAAAATGGTTCCTTAATTTTCTGTGCAGTGATCATTATTATAGGTAAAACCTGCTCAAAACCTGATCTTTATCTTGACCTTTTCATGGCTTCATTTGATGATGATGATGATGATGATGACACCCTGAGACTGCTTTCTTCAGCCTCCTTAGAGAGGTCACCACATTTTTGAAAGCTCAGGACTTGTGAGAACTGGGCCATCCTCTCTGGGGCCACTGTTTTGACAGTAGACTGTAACTTTGGGCATCTGTTTGTTTAAAAACTGGCTTCAGTAATAGATGCATGAGACACTTTTATGTCCCAGACTTCCAAACTGAGATAATAAGTGTGTGTGCTTCATGTGTGTGCTTGACAGAGAGGCAGTCTGACATTGTTGCTGTGTGGAGAAAGTGGACTTGTTTCAGCTCTTGAGCAAGTGTTTCAACATGGATTTAAATCACCAAGACTCTTCAAAAATGTCTTTATTTGGGACTTTTTAGGTAAGTGGGAGAAAAGACATACCAGAGCCTGTTTGTGTCTTTAAAATATATCCATCCTTGTTCCTTATTCTCAGTTGGTGAAAGCATACTTAGCTGCATCTCTGCAGCTGAATTGCCATAAGAGCTCTTACTCTCTTGTACTTTTAAGAGAAAGAGTATCCATCTGCCAAAGTTGATGCTGTACTTAATACAGTAACTAGTCTTTATCCTTCTAGTAGTAATAGTGTAAAACAAACTTAGTGAGGAAGAATTATTTAAATAAGGTGGTGAATGGACATATGATAACCTTGTTATTAATTGAGCATAGTGGAAGCAATAAATCAACTGCTAAGAGGTTGAGTTGCCTTATAATGCAGAACAGGTGTATCTAGTGCTCTTGGTACTTAATGAATGTTGTAATAAAGGGTTATAAACATACATTTTTCACACAGTGGTCTAGATCATTTGACATAGAGCTGAATAAATCAACTGAGTATACAAATGCCTTTTAGGAAAGGAATTTCCTAATAGTGTTTCTGTGTTTTGAGTAGGTACTTTGACATCACTCTTCTCCTTATATCATCATTTTACTTTAGCATCTCAAAACTCAGTAGATAGGAGAACCTCTTTAGCACTGTTCAGAGGGAAGGAAGTAGAATCTCAGTTTTACACATGGAGAACACATAACTGGATCATACGGAAGGAAACAGTGGCTAAACGTAATAATTCAGAAAATTCATGGATGGGCTTTGAATCTAGGCCTTTGAACTCTAACTGTGCCCTCCATGATACAGACACTCATGCTGATTTGCCAGTGGTCCAATATGAGCTATCAGATAGCTCATATGGATTTGTAAGCATGCTTACGGGGAAAATGAGGTGGTATTAAATTTAGTCATCTAAATTTCAAGGTCATAGTGCCTGATTATTTTATTCCAAGCACAGTAGAATCATATTTCAGTTATTTTAGGTCTGCTGTATACACTGATAAAACTTCAGTATCTCCCACCATTCTTTTAAGAAAAAGCACAAACATACTATGAGACCCTTGAGCAAAATGAGATGGTTCCAGAAGAGAACTGGCAGACAAGGGCCAGGAATTTCTGTCGCTTTATCACTGCTATCAACAACACCCCTAGAAACATTGGGAAGGATGGCAAGTTTCAGATGCTGGTGTGTCTTGGAGCCAGGTATAAAAAAAAACCTTCTCTATTATTATTGTTGTTTTTATTATTGATACTTTGCTAAAATTAAAAGGATGTTGCATATTAGTAAAATAAAGCCACACAATGCTGGTTGTGCAGTTGGCTATTACTTACACAGTTCTTTGGTGTAGCTATGGAGGAATCAAGTGAACCATATCCTGACCTGTTGGGCATGTGAAGTGTGGGTAATCTGACATATAAAACTGAGTATCCCAAAGAGCTGAGCAGCTGAATCAAGAGAGGAAGGTAGTAGGCTGGTGTGAATAGTCTTACCTCCCTTTCGTTTACAGCTAGCAAGGTCAGAAGGTAGACACAGAAAACCATCCGTCAGTGAGGCCTCTGTTGTTAATGGCTGGGTGAACTCCCCACGTTCCATCTACTGCTCATGGTAGGAGGTGGGTAGAAGGGAAGCTGGGACCATCTAGAAGCCTCTTTGCACAAAGGCAGTGGAGCAGGCTAGTGACTTTGGGCCTGCTTGGGACTTGCAGGCCTCCTGGGAAGCACCTTTTGATGTGAGGGGTGGAAAGTCTAGAAACATGTCTGTCGCAGATGCTTTCTGTTTAAACTAATTCCACAAACAGTATTTCCCCTTCCCTGTCTTATAAAAATATGCAGAGAAGGTAGCAGGTCTGTTTAGAAGGCAAAGAATAAGAATCACTTCAGTGAAAACATGAAATTAACTTGGCTTTATTTTTGTTTCCAAATTGCAAATTGCCACTTTGTCAGAGACCACCTTTTGCATCACTGGATCGCCCTGCTTGCAGACTGCCCGATTACAGCACAGATGTACGAAGACATAGCACTGATAAAGGATCATACTCTTGTGAATTCTTTGATTCGAGTGCTGCAGACCTTGCAGGAGTTTAACATTACGCTGGAGGCATCTCTTGTCAAAGGAATTGATATTTGACCTCTTGTCCCACAGGAACAAACTACCTTTAAAAACAAACAAACAAAAAAGCAAAAAGGAGTGAATCTTGTTAGTATGCAAAAGTTCTGTCTTGCCAGTACGTTGTATCGTGGACTTGTTCATGGCCCTAAAATGCGACTTTGACTTTTCTTGAAGGAAACTCCCAAAACAGTACAGGCACATGGATAGAAGCTGTAAACTCAATGTAAAAAAGAGGATTTTGGTATAAATCTATTTTAGAGTTTATTTGCTGATTTGCTTTTTACACACTTTCATGTGAAAGAGATAGAGATGAGTATTGTGCAGCTTATTTTAAAGCTGCAGTATTTCCTTGCCATAGAAGATGTGCAGTGAGCCTTTCAGCATTCTGTGAACTTGCCTTCAGATATGCTGTATGTCATAGATTCCAATGTATACACTCCATTTCTGCTGAAAAGGTCATTCTATAGTTTTTAAACTAGTATTTTATATATTAACATTATTACCAATGTTTGATTTTTAACGTATTGGGTCATGTTCTGCTGCAAGGGAACTACAAATCTGATGTGTGCTTTTTTTAATAGCTCCAAAGCACTGATTTGTCAACAGATCATTTTTTTTTTTCATTTATTTTTGTTGTCAGTATTATTTTTAGTGAAATCCAGGAGACTGAACCATGAAAGGTGCAGAGATCAAAGTAATATTTTTCATATTGGTACGTAATTGCACAGATGAAATTAAGTGTGTTTTTTAACTGATGTTTTTTATTTATTTAATCTGTCATTGTGTTTTGTAAGTTTGTCTTTAAAAAACCCAAACAACTTCTATGATACAACTAGCTGTATTATGTTGCAATTCTGGATTTACAGTGCAGCCCACTTAAATGAAAAACCTGGAATAATCGTTCATATACAAAAATGTTTCACTTGAACCAGCCTTTTGAAGTTTGGTATATAGTTGCTGCTGGTAATTCTCTTAACTGTTAATAAAGATGGACATAAGTTCCCCAAATGCCAAATGATTAAATAAACATGTTTATTCCCCCTTGAAATAATAATGGTATACTTTACTAACACATATAATATCTTAATTTTTATGAAAAGACAGTGAGTGTTAAGGTTTTTTCTTTTTCTTTTCAGTGAATATGTCTTGGGTCCTGTTATCATAGTCTGCGTCATTTGGGATGCTTCTGTTTTTAGCAGAGAAAGCTTTAGTCCACTTCTACAATAAAACACAAGCATTCTGAAAGCTTAATTTATTGGAGATCTGGAACTTGGCAAATGCCTAAAGGCATGTCTGTTCATTTGGATCCTCTGATAAAAATCTCTTTGAAATGAATATGTGACCTAAGAACAGGCTGATTTATCAGCATCGCAAATTACTGTACAGAAATTCAGGGCTATACATTTAAGAGGTCTCCACTGTATAAACTTATCTCAGTATTGTCTCTGTTTTGAGAAGCAGAATCCAAGTGTTTTAGCTCATACAATGTTGTAGCACCTTTTCTTTACCTACATCTTAGTCACATCTTGTGATAGTTTTATTTCCATAATTTATAAGTATAGAACATGTATTAAATTTTTGGCTATTTTTACTTTTGTCTTATTTATTTCATTATTAAACTAAGAAGTTCCTTTGTCACTACTTACCAGAGCAAGATTCCTTTTTTGATGTCAAAGTAGCACTGGGAAGATACAAAGGCAATGTCCGAGTCACTGCTTGTGCTGGGTGGGCATGAACTCTTCCACAGTCTGGGGCTTACAGCAGTATTTCACAGAAGTATTTTGTGTGTGTCGGTTTGGGTTTTGGGGGATTGGGTTTTGGGGGATTTGCCAGCTTTGGAAGGGCAAAAATTAGCAGATGTCCTTTATTCTAAGAATTTCATGTATTTGGCTTAATATGTTGGGATAATCTTTATATGCCAGCCCCAGATTGCTTGTTTATGTATTAAAAATTACAGTGCTTCCAGCTGTATTTAAAACAACTTTAGTAGGCCTGCATATTTCAGAGGGAATATGTCTAAGTAAGAAAGGAGGATTGGATTAATTTTGACCTTAACAGATTAGTTGATCCTGTTAAAACCAAATCCACCGTGGTATTAAGTATGGATTAATTTTCTCTTGCACAAGGTAGTTAACCCTGAATTCCTGAATTAAGGTGTTGGTTTGGTTTTATTTTGTTTTTCTTCTTTTCTTTGTAGATGTTCACCTAGTGTGGTGTGATACCATTGGTTTAATGACTTGCTTTGGTGTGGTTCTTCTTGGCTTCATTATGACAGTTAGCGGTATCTGGGATGGACACAGTGTGTGGTTTGCTGGTTCCCAAGTGGCTAGCACATGAGGATGAAGCTGTTCATCAGTGACGGCACCCTCTTTGCTAGCTAGATGCAAAAGGATGATGCAGAGGTCATCTTCCTAGCTCCTCAGTTACTTTATTTTCACAGAAAAGACCGCTTTACAATAGACCCTTCCTCCTTCTCTCATAGGAGGTCTGTGCTTAATCCTGTTAGGATTCAAAGCACTTTTTGCTATGGACTTCCAAGTCTGTGAGGATTTTCACCACTGAAGGACCAGTAGAAAGTTCTGAAATGCAGCAGGAAAAATGTTGGTTTTGTTGGATGCAGGGACTGCCAGGAAGACTGAGATATTAAATATAGCTGCATGGTAGCCCGTGCTAGGGTTCTGGGAGGAGGTATGTTGGCGTATCTAAGAACAGTTCAGTCTGTAGTAGTAGCCATAATCCCTCCACTTTTCAGTGTTTACCACAAACTGACCTACTTCTTTCATTGATGTAGCTAGCATCAGTCCCACAGAATAACGTTAGGATCCAACATCTCATCCCTCTATGGATGGATGACTGTTAAGAACAAATGGTACAGACAGCATCTTTACTCTTTAACTAGAACTTTGTAAAACCCATCCCCCTTTTTAAAACTTACCTTGTGGGTTTGGTTTTTTTTTTTTCAGTAATGAGCCATAGAATAAAGCAATTGTAACTTTTTTCTCCCATTTGCTTTTCTAAAAGAAGGGGGCAGGTCTGGTAGATGCAGGTTTATGTGGTTTTGCTATTTTGTTGCTTGGGGTTTTTTTTGGTAACAGTTAATGGGAAAATTTATATATATATTTTTAACAGCACACATACATTCTGTAGAGAGAAATATAATGATTAAAAAGATGTAGTTCATAATGTAGTAAATATGTAGTGCTAAATTAGCCACAGGCTGATACCTGGTTTGAGGAGAAGAAATTGAGCTGTAGGCTATAGATTATTTATGCTTCTCTGGTTAATGCTGCCAGAGTTGATGCGATAATACTTTATACAAAAAGAAAATGCAGATTAATAAAGACTTGGTTTAAATGTAATGAAATACTATTACAATAAGTTTATACAAGAAGAAAAAGCCTTTACCTGCCATAGACTTAAACATCTGATATTCTGTAGCTGAAGACATATTCATGAACTGAAGACTATTCCACAACTTTTTCCATTATGAAGCGTGGTTTTCAGAGTATTCGAATGGGACCTACTAGCTGGATGGTCAATATTTTTTGTGGTTTGAATTCACGAATATGTTTATAGAGTTCTGCAGTGAAACTATTCGGAGTTAACATTTCTGTATATTGTCAAATGGTTCTTCTCTGTAGTGCAAGATACTATAGGATACTTGAAAATACTTGAAGATATTGGACATGTACTTCACATCTTTGTAGTTCTTTATTTTATACCTAGAGACTGGCTGTTAGACCAAGATGAAGCATCAATACCTTATAAACTATATATTTTATACGTGAGGAAATGACTGACCAGTTGTTTTTTTTTAAGAGTGGGTGTTGAAGTCTGCATTATGATGACAAAACCAGGTACTGTTTTCCTTTTTTATTTTTCCTGTGACATTTCAATCCATTGGACCTTAAATGTGAATTGGGTGTATGAAGCAGTTTTACAGGTGTAGATCATTTACTGAATTGCAATAAAATTTGTCTTCTAACATGAAAAATAGCATTAATATGCTATTTCCAAAAGCCTTTTATTATAATTTGGCTGATCATCTTTTCTTCTTTGCCTGACTGAAGGTACGTATGATGTTCTAGTGTCTAATTTCAGGAGAGGCTGTTTGTATGGTTTTGTATCTGGTATGTTCAACTAAATGCCTGCCTCACACCCAACACCAGTATCACAAGCAATTGCTGTCAGTCAGGCTGCTACCAGTGGAGGAGATGCCTACTCAGTAATCAGGGAGTGAAGAGAACAGGAAGGCAGAGGGACAATTACAGGTCTTGGAAAGTGTCTGTGAGTACACACACACGCATATGTGCTGCTGTTCACTCTGTGTCAAATTGCAAGATCATCACTGGATGTTTTATACTATTAGGGAAAACACAGAAGGGAAGGAGTTTCATCATTATTTGAAGGTATCTCCCTTTGTTTCTCCACACACACACCGTAGTCTGTGGTGGAGACTTTTAATAAAAATAAAAGGTTTTAAGATCTTTCTTGGGGGAACCACATCACCCTTCCTGAGCTGGTGGTGATTCTGCCCTACTAACTGATGGTGTCATCCTGCGGGCTCACTGGGGGAGACACTGAGAGGGTGAATGCAGCCTGCTCCATGCTGAGGTGGTGCTGGTGGCCGGGGCCCTGGACAGGTTTGGGGGACTGCAGTTGATCCCTGCTGCCAGGCATGCTGTGATTGTGCAAGATGCCAAACCTGCTTCTTGGAAATTGAGGCCATCTCAATTCTCTAGGCTCATTAGACCTGCTGCTTCTAATTCCTCTGCAGGGCATTACGGAGATGGACATAGGGAAGGCCCTGGATGCAGCTGTTGGGTAAGCCCAGCTTCAAAAACACATTCACTTCATCACAGGTGGCCTTGAATCTTTCAGGCTTCCTGCAAGGGGAAGGAACAGAAAGGATAGGGGTGTTGGTGAGCGAAGTGTGTCATGGAACTGCAGAGTTCATAGCACTTCCAAATATCAGTCTGAGGTGGTTTTATAGAAAGTGGTGTTTATTAACATCTGCTGGAGAGTTTGAGTGTTAAGCAATGATAGCTGACTGACTGGTCCAAACGTGTTTAGAAATGTTATCATTTGTTATAGTGATGACTTGGAATGTTGTCACAAAGAAATACCAATGTCAGGGAGCTGCACTGAGCAGATCTTTGTTTAAAAGTTATTTCACATGGCAAAAATTCTCTTTTTTTTTTTTTTTTTCTTCCCTGTTAACCTGAAGATTCGTTAATAGAACAAACTGTATTTGGTCCTGCAGTAAATGGGAACTGTTCCTCATTTCAGTGACAGTGGCATTTTAAGATGCAGATCCTACAATGTTTATCACTGGTGGATCTGATGTTTGTTTTGAGGAAAGTTTTTCTATCAGTGGCATAAAAATACACAAGGACTGTAAATTACATGAGAGGGTCTTTTAGATGCCTTGTGACTAGGAGAACCCCAGGTTACCTCTCTGAGATTTAAGCCATGTGCAGGTCCTGCTCCCAAGGAAAGCTACTGTTACATTGCAAAACTGAACGCTGAATACTGAAATGTGTTATTTTACATAAAACTCAATAACCTGTTTGGTAGCTTGGAAAACCCTTGGATACAGATGAAAAATAAATGCAAAAGTTCGAGTGATTCATTTCAAAGGACAATTGTTCAAAGCCCATTATACCTACAGAGGTGAGTAAGAATTGAAACTACAGCTCTGAGACATTGTGTGTGAAGAAGTTTTGGAATAATTAAATATTTGAAGGTGTTTCCTGACTTGGCTGTTTGCCCCTTTTCCTTTTTTGTTCTGGCATCTCTCCTCCTCACCTCCAATTGTTTCCAGCTTCTGTCACAAGCACTCATTATGCTTGCTTAGTTGTGTTAAATTTTGGGCCAATATAATGCACTTTTCCTCAGCACAGCAGATGCACTACTTCTCACAACATTAAAGTACAAATGAAATGGCAATCTAGATGTCTTCAAATAATGTTTGCTTATCATTAAATAATAAAATTTAACAAGGGTTATAAAGCATAAAGCAGTTTTTATCCCAGATTTTCAGGCAAAAGTATTCAACTCAGGTGTAGAATTTCTGGAGCAGTTTTTACATCCAACTGCTCTGTAGCGGCTTAGTGTGAGGCAACTTCAAGTGATAGTTAAAGTGGAGGGCTTGGGAGAGTGGGGCATCATATCTGTATGGAAGTGTTACTTTGGAGCAGCAGTGTTTGTAGTGTTTTGCTTCTGGCAGTCCAAATAGATCCAACTGTGTCAATGGAAAGAAGTTCTATGTTTTGCAAGACTGTAAGGCAGCACACACACACTGGTACTATTGGAAAAAGGAGGCAAGTTTTCTGATGTCATGCCTTTTTCCAAATGTGAACTGACCAAACCTTGCTGCCTTGCAAAGCATCTGTGACATGTAACTGAATGGGTCTCTGGTCCACACAACTGAGAAAATTTAGTTCAAGACTGAAGTGCTATGTAGTATCTATATGAGCAAAAACTTTGCTATTGGTTTTAGGATCAGTATGTATAATTATGAAAATCCTGCTTGCATATACTTCTTGCAGATACTTGCCATATTTGGCAGATATTTGCAGGTATTTTTATCCCTAAAACATTGTGATTTTTTTTTTTTGTTTTATTTTTAATTGCTGGAA